AAACAGAGCTCGAAGAGAAGTGACTTCCTCAAGGTCACATGAAAGGGAAGGATGAGGAAACTGGCCTTGCTTTAGGGCAGATCCTCAGGGCCCCAGTAAGAGCAATTTGCCTGTACATTTATCATTCACTGAATTATTACAGTGTCCCACCTCCCCCTAGACTAGGCACTGGGGTTCTCTAAGTGGAGACAGTTCTGGCCTTAATCCATTCACAATGAAAGTGAGAGATCGATGACAGTGGAACATAAGTGCTTCAATGGGGGCAGCCCCGGAATCTGTGGGATCTCAGAGAAGGGAGGCATCTAACCTCGAATTAGGAGAAGGGAGCCAGAGGTTGAGATCTTCAGTGTGAGTTGAAATTGGCCAGGGGCAGAAGGGAGAGGAAGGACATTCCTCTGGTAGAAAACATACATGCCACAGCCGTGGGAGAGGGGTGAGACTATTCATGGGCTTGCAGGTGTTTCCCCCTGGCTGGAGGTTTCCTGTGGGCTTGCTGGAGAGTAGGGACAGGAAGCAAAGCCAGAGATATGGGTGGGTACAGATTTAAAAAAAGCTATGCTGGGGCCAGGCACCGTGGCTCATGCTTGTAATCCCAGCACTTTGGGAGGCTGAGTGGGCAGATCGCTTGAGCTCAGGAGTAAGAGGACAGCCTGGGCAACATAGCAAACCCCGTCTCTACAAAATTAATTAATTAATTAATTAATTAATTAATTAACCAGGTGTGGTGGCATGCGCCTGTGGTCCTAGCTACTTGAGAGGCTGAGAAGGAAAGACTGATTGAGCGCGGGAGGTCCATCCAGACTGCAGGGAGTCGAGATCATGCCACCCTGGGTGACAGAGCAAGACCTTGTCTTTAACTAAATAAATGAAAGAAAAGAAGGGCACTAGAGAGGGGAAGATAGTTGGAGAGAGATTGGAGAGGCCGGCGGCAGCAGATGACGGGGGCGGGGGGTGGGGGGGTTGGAGGTCAGGGGAGGATTTTCGACGTTATAGTAAACTTGACAGGAAGCTTTTGCAGGATTGTAATCCAGAATGTAGCAAGATCTGGTTTATGTTTTTAAAAGGTCCCTTTGGCTGCTTGCGGAGAATGGATTATGGGGGCCAGAGAGGAAGTGGGGAGGCTACTGAGGAGCCTTCCGCAGTCGCTGAGGGAAGAGGAGGCGGCAGCAGAACCAGGGGCAGGTGGACATGATTAGGCTCCGTGTACATTTTGGGGAGAGAACTGACCAGATCTGCTGGTCTGTCCCAGCGCAACCAGCCCCTGCCACCGGGGTCCAGGACCCTGGACAGCGTCAACCCTCCCCTCAGCCCAGAAGAGCCAGTACTTCCAACCTCCCCACCCCACCATCCCCCCACTTCCCCAACCCCATTTCTGAGACCCCAAGTTTCCTGAAGGCAGCCTGCAGAACCCCTCCCTCCCTTGTGGGTGTCTAAAAATAAGAAACTTTATTTTTTAGAGCAGTTTTAGGTTCACAGCAAAATTGACCAGGAAGTACAGACACTTCTCATATAGCCCCGTCCCCTTTGTGTTTTTTAAACACTCTTATTTAAAATTATAGGCCATTTCAACATATGAGAAAATCGAGAAATAATGTAACAGACACACATCGAGATTAAGTGGATATTCACATTTTGCCATATTTGCTTCAGAGTCCCCTATTTTTACAAAAGAGATGTCAAAGAAAGACAGATACAGTTGTGCTGACCTGGTGTTTATCTGCCTCGTGCATATTTTATGCTGTCATTACCTAGTTACGCATTCAAAACCTGTGTATTCAATTCTTACATATATTTGTTTAAAGTTTACATAAATGGTGTAAACCTGTGGAGGTTCCTTTGGTATTTTTTTCGTTCCATGTTACATTTGGAGACTTATCCCTATTGATGGATGTTGATCTAGTTTGTTCATTTGAACCGTGGTTGATTATCTTATTGCACTTATAAAGCAGTTTATTTTTTGTTTTCCTGCTGGGAGGCAGTTAGGCTCCTCTTTGTATTTCTATTACATACTAAGGTGCAATAAATATCCGTGGACATGTATGCTTCTGCATATGAGTATGCATCTCTGGGACACGGTGGAAAACATTGCTGGTGTCCCACTCGGATGCCTTTTACCTGTAGGTGTTCCCACCCTCTAGCTGTGAGTGTTGACACTAAGGGCTCAGAGCTACTCCCTTCTTGGGAACTCCCTTGCCCACAGTTACACCACTTCTCCATCCTTCCTATGGTGTGGCCATAGCTGATGACTGAGTGACATGGGGGTAGAAAATTTTGGCTCCCTTGCCTCGAGGTAGACCGACTCTGCGTTGTCACTCCTGCCCCAGAGCTCCCATGGGATCAGATTGAAGCTAATCTCCAACCGAGAACATATCACTGCCTAGCGCTTCCACCCTATCTGCCATCCCATCTCCCTTTCACCTAAGAGCTCTGCTTCAATAAATCACTGCACAAGAATCCCTGACTCAGGCCCTGATTAGGAAACTTAACCTAAGAGGCACACATTAGTGGCAGAGTTGGCTAGATCATAGATTTGCTCGTCTTAAAGTTTATTAAGCATTTTCAAATTGCTCTCCAAAGTAGCTGTGCAAATTTAAATTCCCACCAGCAGTTTATAAACATTGCTATTTCCCCCATATCTTCATCAATACTCACGTTAGACACTAATTTTGCCAATCGGATTGGTGTAATGAGCCATCTCATTTTTGTTTCAACTTGCATTTCCGTGTTTACTAGTGATGTTGAGACTCTTTTATATCTTGTTTGGCCTTTCACATTTCTTCCTCTGATATTTAATCACATTTTTTTTTTTTTTTGCCCATTTTCCTATTGCTCTGGAATGTTTTGGTAGATTGATTCTCTGGAGTTATAAAAAACATTGTTTTGGAAACTAATTGTCTCTTGCTCGTATGGATTGCTAATACTTTCTCCCAGCCAGTGGCTTTAAGAAATCTATTCATCTTTTGTCACACAGAAATAATTGTAGTAAGATTTATCATTTTAAAAATCATTTATGCTTTTTGTGTTTTGTTTAGTTTCTACTCTAAGATCATAAAGTTATTTTCCTCTATTTTCTTGTAAAGTTTTATAGTGTGCTCTTCACATTTAGGACTTTAACCAACCTGGAACTTATTTTGTGAGTGGTGTGAGCAGGGATCCAATTTTATGTTTTCCAATAGGGGTATTCAATTGTTCAACATCATCTGTTAACAAGACCATTTTACCCTTTGTCGTGTTTCACACTCTCCTATATATTTTGATCTGCCCCTAGGCATTATTCTCTGTTCTACTATCTGTTGATCTGTTCCTGGGACCAAATCTATTTTAATTGTTAGAGCTCCATAGTGCCTATTGATACCTGATAGGGGGAGGTTCCCTTCCTCTTCCTCTTTCTTTTTCAAAATTGTCTTGGCTGTTCTGTGTTCTTTATTATTCCATGTACATTTGGGGATGACTCTGTCAAGTTGCCGAGAAAACCCCATTGCAATTTTTATTGGAAATAAAAATGCATAGATTAAATTGGAAGGGCATAGCCAGCGTTGTGGTGGTGAGGCGGCTCCCCATCCATGAACATGGTTTGTTTCTTCCTCTCCTCTGTGTTCCATGCCTTGCACAAAGGACTGCCTTGGAAATCAACCTCCAAACCCTTCTCATTCTTCAGTGCTCAACTGAAATGCTTCCTCCTCCAGTAAGTCCTCCAATGACAGACCTGCCTGTCAAGGCTCTCTCTAACACTCTGGCACCCTTCTGTGTGCTCCATTTTTTGGACACTTAGCACATTGGATCTGATTGAGGGAACCTCTTTTGTGCAGTCTGCACCTCCACCTAGTCTCTGAGCTTCTGAGAAGAAGGGCCGCGTCTCACAGTCTTGTACCCCCAGTAGCACCCAGCACAGAGCAGGTGTTGATTAGGACCTGATGATTGGATCCTATCGCCCAATAGGATGTTAGGATCTCTTCCCCTTAAGGGAAGGTAAGTCTGTAGTAACAGATTCTTCCTCACAGGAAACAACTGGTTTTGTGAGGAAAGGACCTGGTGCTTAGTTTGGAGTCTCCAGGAAGTATAGCTGGCTTGAAATCAGACAGATTTAGCTCTATGTGGTGGCTCTGCCATGTAGGACATTGGCCTCTCCAAGTAAGCTTTTGGCCATGTGTGAGTGGGGGACGATATTCTCAATCTCATAGTGCTATTGTGATTCCGAGCGAGACAATGTAGGAAATGCAGTGTAGGTGTTTTCTGCCTGTTCCCACTTCCCCAGTTTGAGGGAGGTTCAGGAGAGAAGCCCTTCGCTCAGCTGGAGATCATCCACTCCCTCACCTCTAAGACCCTGGAGCACCTTCCCCAAATGTCTGAGCCACTGGCACAAATGGATGCTCTTGGCCTCTGCTCCGCCTCTATCTCTGTCTTCTGACCAGAACCCCTGCTGCTGCTCCCTTTCCCCATGAGCAGAGGGAGTCCTCAGCTCCCTGATGTAACTATGGAAGATGCTTGTACCCTGCCTCCCCTATTCTGCCTCCCAGCACCCAGGTCTCCCAGTGGTCCCCCTTGGTCCTGAGGAAGTTGTTTCCAGGAAATGTCCTTTCCTGGAAAGAAGAGGCTTCCATGGGGGCATCTTTCTCCCCCAAGAGAACTCAAGGGCAATGCCCATCTGGAAGGGACTGGACTCTAAGGTTAAGAACCATGTGCACCTCTTGGAAGAGAGAATTTGGGGCTGTAGGGTGCTTCCTAGCTGAGCCTGGGATTTGGGGTGTGACAAATCTAGGTTCTGATTCATCTCTCAGTCTGTCCTTTGGCTTTAGGCAGGTTGGCTGAACCAGGACTTAGCTTCCCCATATATACAATGCATGCACTAATCCTACCTCCCTCCTCCCCCGACGGATGAGAAAACCAGAGGGGAGAAAAATGAATGGGATGCAAACAGTAGGTGCTCAGTATGAGGTTGGCCCTTCCCCAACAGGAGATGTCAAGCTTGTAGAGATGGGGGAAAAATGGGGGACACAGGCAAAGATGAGGCAGAATTTATTCTCATTGTGGGTAATTTCAAGAGTCAGGATGGAGACCACATAGAGGCAGGTCCCTAGGACCCTGAGAGGGACCCCACGCTAGAGTCAGGGGCCACACTTTTGCAAGTGCCAGGCCCATGGTGCCTTCATGACTGTGAGGATCCAGAGCCCAGAAACCGGGTAAGAGTGGGGTGGGGGTAGGGAAGAAGACAGGATTCCCCCCGCCCCAGATCGTGTTCTGACCATGTTTCCGACTTCCATAGGAAGGAAGAACAGCTCGGCTATATAGTAATATAATATATAGAGGTGTAGAGAGCTGGCCGCGGCACCTGGATGGGGCTGAGACTCCCCGAATTATTGCAGGAGGGAGAGGGGGCTCAGTGCTGGTGTCCCCGCGGGATAGCTGTGTTGGCTATGGGGAGGGGGGGCAGGGCTGGGGAACTGGGCTCGCCCCTCCCTCTGGGGCTGGCAGGGGGCACACAGTGGGGTTCCTGCTACCCTGTCTGCCAACGGCCTCCGGGTTGGGGCTTTATCACCCTGGGTGCTTTTTATGTGCTTTGAAGACCATTTTTGCATTGTCAGGAGTGAGGAAAAAATATTCTGACATGGTAGAAAAGAGATATTTACATACCCTGGTGGGCCGTAAGGGGGAGGTCAGTGTGAGGGGGCGGGGCTTCCAGGGCACCTCCACCCCCAGCGCCCATGTGGGATGGTGTATGGGGAAAAGAGCCTTGGCCGGAGGCAGGAGCCCTGACTCTGCCACTTAGTTGCGGTGCAACCTGGGATGGGGCATCACCCCTCTCTCCAGGCCTCAGTCTCCCCATATGCTACAGAAAGGGCTGGGCTGGGGGCTGAGAAGCTAGGATCCTCTGGTCCCTGATCCTAGGCCTGGGGGACAAGGGGGAGGTGTCAGGGGGCAGTGAAAGGTTAGCGAAGGGACTTTCAGTGAGGAGACCTGGGCCGTGGAGGGAAGGCATCAGAGGCTAGAGGGGGCTGCTGAGCCCCTGGCCCTGGCCAGGCAGCCAAGTCCAGCTGAGGGCGTCTCATGTGCTCTGCCATGATGCCTCCATGAAGGCGGCCAGTGGGACTGGCCGGGAACCCTGTTTTCCTGTTGAAGCAGCGGTGGGAGCTGGGTGAAGGCTGCAGGTGGCCTCCTCGGCTAGAGGGAGGACCCAGACCTGAGATACAGCCAGGGTGGGCTCACCCAGGCAGAGATGAGGGTGGGCCTGGTGCTGGTGCAGTTCAGAAGTGACCCCTGGCTCCAGCCTCCAGGTGTGCAGGGATGTAGGGGTGTGCCTCTCCCCTGTCCCCGTGGGTGCTGGACCTGGTGGTGTCACACACTGAGTTCCCTGCTCACACATCTCCTCATTCATGACACATCATCCACCATCACCCACATGTGCCTCCAGGCTTAACAGATACGCACACGCTCATAACATGCATACGTCCATGCTGAGACCCGAAGGGGTGGACACACATGATCACACATTGTTCACTCGGGATCCCCTGACCTTGTGAGATCACCCCCCACCACACACACACACACACGCACACAGAGGCAGGCGAGTGACGTCCCTGTTGGACTCTGTGGCGTGGAGGCCCCAGGCTCCGGAAAAGAGAAGGCACCTGCCCTGGGGGACGGGTGTCCTGGCCAGGGTGGTCACCAAAGGCCCCTTCCCAGGCACCTGACCCCTGATAACTCCAGGTCCTGTGGCGGAGCCTTCAGCCCCCCTAGCGCCCGAGAGGAGGGCAGAGGCCTGGGGCCGCCCTGCCTGCTGCCAGCCCCGCACGTCCTCTGCCGCTGGCATGACCTGCGGAGTGTTTGGTGGCCACCTGGGCCTTGCCGGCTGTGCATCAGAGGTGCCGGCGGGGCCCCTGGGTGCTGGTCAGCTGGGCCCGCATGGTCTGAATGCTGCCCAGGATCTTCTTCTGGTGACCCATGAGGGTGATGCCCAGGGCACGCACGTCTCTGTGAAGGAAGGGTGCTGCTGGCCAGCTGGGCCTGGGAGGCTGGGAGCCGTGCATGCAGCCAGGGCCATGGATCTGGACCTGTAGCCTCCCCGGCGGCCCTGCCTCTGGGTCCCCGCCCCTGCCCCCACACGCATGGGCCCCCAGCCCCACCCATCACTCACTGGGCGTTCATGCGTAGCACCATGCCCAGAGAGGAGTAGCCGCCCGCAGCGAAGTGGTCTCGGTACCGGCCCATGCGGATGGAGTCCAGCCAGTCCCCCACGGTGAGGCCCCCGCCGCCACCGCTGCCCCCTCGGAGGTCAAAGCAGCTCCGGGCGAAGGCAGGGGGTGGGCACCTAAGGCACAGGGGCCCTTGGTAAGTGGCCAGGGGGTTCGGGAGGTTGGACCCCCGAGAAGAGGCAGGCTGAGGAAGGGGTCAGGAAGGGCAGGGGCTGGGGGCCCAGGCTGGGCCTGGTCCAGATGTCAGGGCCAAACTGTCCCAGGGACAGATCTGGGGCAATAATGGGAGGCAGCTGGGCCTCGAGGAGCTGGGGTGGGCACGAGGCACCTGCTGACAGTGGCGGTGGCCCTGAGACTCTCCGGGCTGCGGATCAGCGCGTCGAGGACACTAACAATCTGGGAGAAGCGAGGCCGCTGTGCCCGGTCCTTGTGCCAGCAGTCAAGCATGAGCTGGTGCAGGGCGCGGGGGCAGCCCATGGGTGCGGGCAGGCGGTACCCCTCCTCCACGGAGCTGATGACCTGCGGGGGATCAGCGCTGGGCTCAGCCGTCCCTCCTGGCACCCCAAGTCTTCACCGCCTGCGGCCCCGCCAGGGCCCGGTACTCACATCCCGGTTGGTCATGTTCCAGTAGGGCCGCTCCCCGTAGGCCAGCACCTCCCACATGACCACACCGAAGCTCCACACGTCGCTGGCCGAGGAGAAGGTGCGGAAGGCGATGGCCTCTGGGGCTGTCCAGCGGATGGGGATCTTCCCGCCCTGCGATGGACACACAAGAGTCGAGGGGCTGCCCAGGCCTGGCAAGGTGTCCCCCGAGCCCTCTGAGTCAGAGAGCTAAACACTGGGGTTCCGTTTCCCAGTCCAGAGGGACAACACAGCCCCCACCTTCCCAGAGCACCTGTCCTGAGGGAGGCCCCTCAAGAGCCGCTATGAAGACAAAGGAAGGAAGGAGTGAGATGTCTGGCACAAGCAGGTGCTCAGCCAGTACCAGTCACAAACCAAGGGGGCTCAGGGGCCACAGCCTAGTCGTTTTCCAACTCTTCCTCTTCCTTCTCTTCCCCCACTTCCTTCTCCTTTCTCCTTCCTTCCTTCCTCCCTTCTTCCTTCCTCCCTTCTTTTCCTCCTCCCTTCCTTCTTTTCCTCCTCCCTTCCTTCTTTTCCTCCTCCCTTCCTTCTTTTCCTCCTCCCTTCCTTCCTCTCTTCCTTCCTCCCTTCTTTTCCTCCTCCCTTCCTTCTTTTCCTCCTCCCTTCCTTCCTTTCCTCCTCCCTTCCTTCCTTTCCTCCTCCCTTCCTTCCTTCCCTCCTTCCTTCCTCCCTCCTTCTGTCCTTCCTTCCCTCCTTTCTTCTTTCCCTCCCACCTTCCTCCCTCCCTCCTTCTTTCCTTCCTTCCTGCCTCCCTCCTTCTCTCCTTCCTCCCTCCTTGCTTCCTTCTCTCCTTCCCTCATTCCTTCCTCCTTCTCTCCTTCCTTCCTTCCTCCCTGTCTCCCCCACTTCCTTCCTTCCTCCCCCACTCCCTCCCTTCCTCCCCCACTCCCTCCCTCCTTCTTTCCGTTCCCTCCTTCCTTTCCTCCATCCCTCCTTCTCTCCTTCATTTCCTTCCTTCCTTCCTCCCTCCCTCTCTCCCTCCCTTCCTTCCTCCCCCACTCCCTTTGTCATTCCCTCCCTCCCTTCCTTTCGCTCCTCTTTCCCCTCCCCTCCTCTCCACACTCCCCTCCCCTTCCCTTCCTTTCCTCCTTTCTTCCTTTCCACCTCCCTTCCTTCCCTCCTTTGCCTCCTCCTTCCTCCCTCTCTCCTTTCTTTCCCTCCTTCCCTCCCTCCTTTCCTCCTCCTTCCCTTCTTCCTTCCTCCTTCTCCCTCCTTTCTTTCCTCCCCTACTCCCTCCCTTCTTCTCTCCCTTTGCTCCCTCCTTCCTCGCTCCCTCCCTCTCTCCACTCCCTCCTTCCTTCCTTCCTTCTTTCTTTTGTTGTCACAGGATCCTTCTCCATGGGAAACCTTACTCAGAGGCTGTGGGACAGAGGCTAAGGGAGGGCTCCTGTTGGGGCAGGGTGGAAACTGACCCCTGTGCACTCAGCTCCTGCCTTTAAGGCCGCCCCTAAAGCACCTCTAGAGAGGTCCAAATCCCCATGGAACACGTTTGAAAACAGCTGGGTTTTAGGCAAACTTTAGAGACAGATGTGGAGTCTGGGTACAATTCGGGGAGATTCCAATCCTCCTCAAGTCTCCTGGTGAGTGAGCGACCATGGGGACCAGCCCTGGGGTCTCCCCTGGCCACCTGGTGACAGAGGAAAGGCAGGCAAGGCTGTTCCCATTTCCCAGATGAAGGCACTGGCGTGAAGAGGAGAAACAGGATGTGCCCCAGGTTGAGGGCCACCCCGAAACTGCCAACTTCATTCAACTACTTGCAGAAGAATTGTCGGGCCCTGGGTGCCACCGGCGCCACCTCCCCACTCCCCAGTCTAGCCAGAAGGAGTGTGGGCGACGCACCGTGGTGGTGTAGGCAGCATCCGGGTCGTCCTCTAGCACCCGTGAGAGTCCGAAGTCAGACACCTTGCAGACCAGGTTGCTGTCAACCAGGACGTTGCGGGCGGCCAGGTCTCGGTGGACGTAGCCCAGGTCTGAGAGGTAGCGCATGCCGGCACCCACTCCTCTGAGCATGCCCACCAGCTGCATGATGGTGAATTGCCCATCGTGGGTCTGCAGGGGGACACGGCTTGGGCTTCAGGAAGGCCCAGTGAGGCGCCTGGTCCGTGAACAGGAACCCCGCCCATCTGCAGGATGCTCTAGATGGCGCTTTGCAATTTACCAATTGCTCCATGCTTCTGAAGCACCTTGCAGTTAAGGGTTATTCTCCTGGTCTCATTTGCCCTCACAGCAACCCTGCGAGGTAGGTGGGGCAGCAATGACGGCTTACCCATTTTGTGGAACGAGAGATGGAGGCCCAGAGAGGTTAAGCTCTGTGCCTAAGAGCACCCAGCAAAGAAACTGCAGGGCAGGAGCTGGGAATCCCGCCGTCTCCACCACAGCCAGCATGTCCCCCAGCTGGGTGGGGCCTGGATTCCTACAGAGGCACCTCCCTCAGCCTGCGTGAGGGGCAGCAGGACCCCGTGGAGCAGATGGACTTTCATGCAATGGGGGCCGAAAGGCAGTTTGACTGGCTGACCGCGAAGACCTCCTCCCTATACCTGCCTCCCACTCCCCGGCCTGTGGTGTCCAAGCCAGGGAGGAGGCTTAGAGGGCTTTGCACTAGCTCCCAAAACCCAGACTGGACCTCCCTCCCCAAGCCCATGCAAGAGGCAGACGTGGGACACGCACCCTCAGGAAGGTGTCCAGAGAGCCGTTCTCCATGTACTCCGTCACGATCATTGCCAGGCGGCCTGGGGCGGGCAGTGGGGAGAGGGTGGCTCTTGGTTGGGGCTCAGGGCTGCTGATCAGAGATCCCAGGAGCACACTGCCATCCCAGGACCTGTGCCAGCACTGGAAGCCCCAGGGTGCCTTGGATTTCCACTGGGGTCCCAGGCTCTGGGCACCCCGAGTCATTTGGGGACCTGAACCAAGAGGACAGGGTCAGGTGGGGCAGAGCAGGATGGATGAGGGGATGGACCCAGAGGCCTGTCCAGGCAGGAGGGGCACTGCAGGGGGAGGCTGTCCTTGCCTGGCACCTACCGCGGGTGACGACACCCTCGAGGCGGATAATGTTGGGGTGGTCGAATTGCCCCATGATGGACGCCTCACTCAGGAAGTCCCGCCGCTGTCTCTCCGTGTAGCCGGCTTTGAGGGCCTTGATGGCCACGGGCACATCCCGCTGCCCTGGCACCTGCAGCCTCCCGTAGCAGACTTCCCCGGACTCTCCTGCAGGCCCCGAGAGGGGCAGGTGGGGAGGGGGGGCAGTGGGACCCTCAGACTCCCCCAGGCTCCCAGGCCCTTGTGCCCCCTGGGCCTGCCAGACCCTTGGGTCACACGCTTCCTCTGCCCTGGGTACCCCCACCTTGCCCTGTGCTGTCCCCGCCCTCACAACCCCTGAGACTCACCAGAGCCGATGATTTTCTCGATGTGGATCCTAGAGGCCTCGATCTCCCGGGTGAAACTGCGGCCGGCCCGGCCCGGCTCCTCGTAGGTGTGGGGTTCCGCATAGAACTGGGGCTCTGGGAGCTTTCCCGGGGGGTGATGCAGGGGTAGGAAGACAGGTGGGGGTGCTGAGGGGCGGGAGGAGGCCCTTCAGTGGGGCCCAGGAGGGATTTTTCCCTCCCAGCAGTCCCTGGGCCTGGGATGGGTCTGGGTGGAGTAAGGGGTGTCTCTGGGAATCTCTGGATGTGCTAGCAAACAACACGCACCCCATAAGTACTTCCCACGTGAAAGCGGGGTGTCTGGAGTCGCTCTGGGGTTTCTATGGGGCTGTGGAGTCTCCAGAGAGTTCTGGGCATGTCTGTCATTTTCTGGGGTCACTTTTACAGTCCTTGAGATCTTTCTCAATTGTTCTGGAGTAGGGATGTAGCAAAAGTAAGTTTTTGCCACAAGCGTCAACTTTGATTCATTGAAAATAGTTTCTGGCCAGGTGCGTTGGTTCACTCACGCCTGTAATCCCAGCACTTTGGGAGGCTGAGGCAGGTGGATCACTTGAGGTCAGGAGTTCAAGACCAGCCTGGCCAACATGGTGAAACCTCGTCTCTACTAAAAATACAAAAATTAGGCAGTGAGTGTTGTGCACGCTTTGTAATCCCGGCTACTTGGAGGCTGAGCAGGGAAATCGCTTGAACTCTGGAGGCAGAGGTTGCAGTTGAGCTGAGATTGAGCCACTGCACTCCAGCCTGGTGACAGCAGTGTGAACTCCATCTCAGAATAAATAATACCTACTACATACACTACATACCATACATAGTATACAATAGCATATAAAAACGTAAAGTTAAGGAGGAGTCTCGAGGCTGCAGCCTCAGCCCGGCCTGGTGGGAAAAACTGGCCGATGCTTGATGATAATGTCTAAGCCAATGGCACAGGAAGTGGGAGGCATCGGAGGGGGCGTCCCCAGAATTCCCCTTATTGTCTGGGATCTCTACAGATGCCTGAAAATCTCTCCGTAGTAGGGCGGTTCACTTGTCAAAGAGTATATGGAAGCTCCACTCCGGAAATCATATCAAATGTGGTGGCCCTGTCCCTGGGAGCAGGATCTCGCTAGCATCCCTGAATGTAGATCTGAGAGTCGCGAGAGGCATTGAAGCGGCCTGGGCCCTCTGGGACACCAGGTCTCTGTGACATCCTGGAGTCTATCTCTCAGGCTCTGGTCTTTCCACTGGGCACCTTCCTCCTTCCCATCTGTGCCACCCCCAGTCCAGCACTGGGTCTCCCTGTGGCCTTCCCTCTGCCCCAGACCTCTGGGCCCCTGCACTCACCCTGTCCATTCTGATAGTGCATCTTCTCCTCGTCCGAGTCCTGGAAGGCCTTGCTGTAGCCACAGTGCCTGCAAAGGAGGGCACCGCCCTGCCTGAGGCCAGGCCATCCCTAGCCCAGGACCTGACCCCAACCAGGGGACGAGTCATGGCTTCTCTCTTCATGTCCCTTCCCCTGACAAGTCAGCTCCTGCTCCTTACAAAGTCTGCAGGGGAAACTAAACTATGACAGCCGTGACGGTCACAAGCACTGTGCGATCCTCAAAATGCCCTCGAGTCCACCTGACCCTCTTGGCAAAGTCTACGACGCTGTCAGCCCAATGTTATATGAAACCACCGTTGGTGGGTCATTGGAAGATGAGGCTTCTGTGGCCAACGACACTGGGTGACCTTGGCCAGCCCCTTCCTTTCCCTGGGTCACCATTTCTCCATCAATTAGATGATCCTCATTGTCTGGGACCCCAAGCCCACACACTATCCTGTCTCTACCTCCCTCCAAAATGGAGTGGAGAGGACAAAGTAACTGAGAGTACGGGCCTGAGTTTGACAGACCTAGGCTCGTGTCCTAGTTCTGGCATTTATCAACTGTGTGATTCTGGCAAGAAGCCTAGCCTCTCTGATCCCCAATTTACTCACCTGCAAAGTGAGGTCAGAATCTCTACATCACTGGCATGTCATTAGGTTAAATGAGGTGATGTATTTGTAAGTGAGCCAGCCCCAGGCACACGGGGACCACCGGCTCGGTGGGGCTGGGGGCAGGCAGGAGGTACAGCGCTTGAGAGGAGGGGCTGGGTGTGGCTGGGCCAGACCACCCACCTCTTCTTGCAGATAAGCAGGAGCAGAAGCACCACCAGGCCCGTGATGAGAGTCAGGCAGATCCAGACAATGGTCCTGGTGTCATAGCGGGGCCCTGCAGGGGAAAGCCAGGGTTGGGGGACCAGGCTCTCAGCCTTGGCCTTGGGCCTAGGGGTCTGGCAGTCCTCTGAGCCTGCCTGGCTGGGACCCTGGGGCTAGTGGGGAGCCTCCTTAGCCATGAGCCAGCCCACAGTCAGGGCGCAGGCCAGCCCTTCCTCTGCTCCCACCCCACCCTCTCCTAAGCTTCCTCTTCAAGCTCCTGAGACCTGGATGCCCCGGCTTCCTAATGGTGCCGCTGCTTCTTGGGGCTGTGGGACCGGGGAAGACTCGTGTGTCCTCTGAGCCAATAAACGCCTGTCCTTCCTGTTATCCTAACAGTGACAACACGGAGTGTGCTGAGAGCTGTACCTTCAAGCCTCAGTAAACCCTCCCCACATCCCTTCCAGGGAGACCCCAGCATTATCTTCAGTTTTCAGATGGAAAGCTGAGGCGCAGAGAACTCAAGGAAATGACTCGAGGCCACACAGTACATAGGATGGAGGGCTCAGGATTCCCATCTGGGTGGTCTCGAGGGGGTGCCAGGCCCACGAGCACTGGAGGCACTCAGACGCCCAGCGAGCGCCAGGTGGGCGGTTGCTATCTCTGTCCTAGCTCCAGCACGCGGTGGGTGCACATACAGGAGACCCTGACTCAGGCTGGAGATTGGGACAGCGTCGAAGCCAGAGGGTCCCAAATGTGACAGTGCCTGGGGATCACCAAGGGCTTGTTAAAACCCAGATGGCTAGGCGCCACCCACAGGGTTTCTGAAGGGCTGGGGTGAGGACTGGGAATTCGCATTTTTAGTAAGTCCCCAGGTGAGACCAATGCTGCCGGTCCCAGACCCTGATACTGAGACCCAGATCTCAGTACCAGCCATTGTGTGTGGGGGGCTGTCACCATCTCTGCCGCCTTAGGCGAGCAACTGTCCTTCTCTGAGCCTTGGTTTTTCATCTGCGAAAATGCCAACAGAGGCCGGGTGCAGTGGCTCATGCCTGTAATCCTAGCACTTTGGGAGGCCAAGGCGGGTGGATCACCTGAGGTCAGGAGTTCAACACCAGCCTGGTCAACATGGTGAAACCCCATTTCCATTAAATACACAAAAAATTAGGCTGGCAGCGGTGGCTCATGCCTGTAATCCCAGCACTTTGGGAGGCTGAGGTGGGTGGATCACAAGGTCAGGCGTTCGAGACCAGCCTGGCCAAGATGATGAAACCCCGTCTCTACTAAAAATACAAAAATTAGCTGGGCGTGGTGGGGGAGCGCCTGTAGTCCCAGCTACTCGGGAGGCAGAGGCAGGAGAATTGCTTGAACCTGGGAGGTGGCGGTTGCAGTGAGTCGAGATCACACCACTGCACTCTAGCCTGGGCGACAGAGCAAGACTCCGTCTAAAAAAAAAAAAAAAGTAGTCGGGTGTGTTGGCTCAAACCTGTAATTCCAGCTACTGTGGAGGCTGAGGCAGAAGAATCCCTTGAACCCTACTCAGGAGGCGGAGGCTGCAATAAGCTGAGATTGCGCCACTGCACTCCAGCCTGGGTGGCAGAGTGAAACTGTCTCAATTAAACAAAAAAACTCCGACAACACCACTTGGTAGGGCAAGGAGAGCAGAAATCCTGCATTGGCACCAGTTCAGCCCACACTAGCTCTCTTCTCGGCCACCCCTCTACCCCAGGGTCCTGGCGCCTGAGCTGCTCCACGCCCACACCCGCCCCCTCCCTGCACTCACGGGGTTTCCCAGTCTCCACCTCCATGGCCTGGCTGAAGCGGCCACAGCCTGCTGAGGTGCGGGCTCGGACCTGGAACACATAGCGCGTGCCTGGCTTGAGGCCGGAGACGGTGGCTCTGGTGGTGACGGCCTTGAGGGTGGAGTAGCTCTGCATCTCCTTGTCCTGCCACGGGACGGTGGTCAGTGGGCCCTGCCCGGATGGCCCAGCCCCGCCCGCTCAGTCCTGCCCGTGGTACCTTCTCGTAGTACTTGATCTCATACTCCAGGATGATGCCGTTGGGCTGCTCAGGCTCCTGCCACAGTAGCGAGACGCTGGTCTGCCCTGCCCGCTCTTGCCGGATCACCACCACCTGGGACGGGGCTGGGGCGGCCAATCCCATCAGATGGGCGGATGGGAGACAAGGGGTGGCCTCTCTCCCACCCCTTCCCAGGCTCCACCCGGGGATCCTGGTTCCAGCCTTGCTCAGCTTCCTGACGGTCCTACCCCAGCCCCAGGACAGCCAGCACCCTCCAGTTCTCCCAACAAATCACTGGTGGCCACTTGGGGTCAGTCCCCTGGGGTTGGTGAGGCCTGGCATGGTCTGGGATGCTAAGGAGCGGGTTGAGTCTCGCTCTCCAGCCCAGGGCCTGGCATGGGCCAGCTGCTTGAGAGTGCTTGAGGAAGGACGAAAGGTCAGGCGAAAGAAGTGTAGAATGGAGGAAGGGGCCCCTTACTGCCTGGGTTTGGAGGGCGTAGCTGGGACAACTCTGGATGCTGAGGGAAGGGGGTGAGCTGAGCCCCAGCTATTCACACTTGGTTGCCCAGCCATCCCTCCCTCCTTGATGGAGTCACCCATGCCTTTCTTCATGCATCCCACCCTCCTGGCTCAGGTGCGGTCAGCCCTGTGGGGAGCCTGCTAGGAGGGGTCAGACACAGCCACAGCCACAGCCAGAGGGAACTGCGCTGTCCTTCCTGCCCCTCCAGCCCTCAGGCCTCCTCCTTCCCTCTGCTCACTCCGAGTTCTGACTCTCTACCCTACGTGACTAAGTCTTCCCTCATGTCCGGGCATCCCCAGCATAACTCGGAGCTCCCTGAGGGCAGGCACTGCACAGAGTAGGTGCCCAATAAATGCTGCTGATGATTCTGGCATGAGAAATTAAGAAGCAGCTCCAGAGTTGCACTGGAAGGGTGTGGTCCAAGGGAAAGCCCACCAGCCCAGGAGCCAGGCATGGGTTCGGGACTTGGCTCCCTCTTGCTAGCTGGGACCCTGGGTGAGTCACTTGCTGTCTGTGGACGCCAGGTCCCCTTCTATAAAGTGAAGCTAATGAGCACCACCTGCCAGGGGGAGGGGAGGATTTGATGAGGCCACTGTTTGCAAGGGACACACAGGGTGTGTCTCTTAAAGCAGGAGGTGCTGTGGGATGGGGGCGGACAGAGTGAGACCAGGGCCCAGAGCGGGAGTGCTCCAGGGAGAAGCTGGTTGTAGAGAAGTGGCGATGGTGAGGCAGGAGGGGCAGGTGGTCTTTGGGCACAGTCCTCCCCAATTGCTTAGAGCTGTCACTTGATCCTTTAGAACTCCTGTGTACCTATCACATGCTGGGCATGGGGCTAGGAGCTGGGAGCACTGTGGTGCCTAAGACAGCCCTCGAGGAGCTTCTGTCCCAGGAAAGGAGACAGGGCGTCCAATAAACAGGAGAATGGGGGTTCTTTCGGTGCTGGAAAGGTAGGAAGGGGTGCTGTGATGGAGAAGATGTCTGCAGGGCCCGGAAGGGCACTGGGCCATTTCAGCTGCGATGGTCGGGGGAGCTTCCAGGGCAGAGGAGCCAGGCATGGGAATGTCAGGGGAAGAGCGAGTCATTCCGAAGGAGAAGCCAGGCCACGGCCCAGCAGCAGGGAAAGACCCAGCGTGTTCAACGAGGGGCACCGGAGGCCATCGTGGCCAGAAGAGAGTGAGCCAGGGAAAGAGGTGCTCTGGAGAGGCAGGTGGGGGCGAAGCCATGTGGGTCCACAGGCCATGAGAATGTCTGAATTGCATGTGCACTCAGCCTAGGCTGTGAAGGGCTTTGAGGACAGCTTGATCTCACGTATTTTCATTTAAAAAATTTTGGGGGGCTGGGCACGGTGGCTCATGCCTGTAATCCCAGCACTGTGGGAGGCTGAGGCAGGAGGATCACTGGAGCCCAGGAGTTTCACATCAGCCTGGGAAATATAGGGAGATCCCATCTCTACAAAAAAAAAAAAAAAAATCACTGGGCATGGTGCTGTGTGCCTTTGGTCAGCTACTTGGGAGGCTGAGATGGGAGGATCACTTGGGCTCTGAAGACCAAGACTGCAGTGAGCTGTGATTGTGCCACTGCACTCCAGCATGGGCGACAGATTAAGACATTGTCTCAAAAAAAGAAAGTTTTTTGCAGAGATGGGGTCTTGCCATGTTGCCCAGGCTGGTCTCAAACTCCTGGCCTCAAGTGATCCTCCTGTCTTGGCCTCCCAAAATGCTGGGATTACAGGCGTGAGCCACCATGCCCAGCCCTCACTTCTATTTTTAAAGCTCACTCAGAAGTGGTGTGGAGAATGTCTTGTGGGGGTGAGGCAAGAGGGGTCTCCTGTGGTGGTCCAGGCATGGACTCGGGGGGGGGTGGAAGTCAGTTGGTCATTTTGAAGGGAGGCCCCTGGGGCTTTCAGGCGGATGGATGTGACATGCATGAGAGTCAAGGATGACAGCTTGGGTCTGGGGGTGCTACGTCCTAGGGCGGGGCAGGTGCAGGTGTGGCAGGGTTGTTTTTTACACAACCGAATGGAGACGGGAGAGGGCAGCTGGGTCCCAGGGGAGAGGTCTGCGCTGGTGACTGCGAGTTGGGGTTGTTAGTACGAAGATGGAATTCAAAGTCATGGGCCCTGAAACAGCCGCCCAGAAAAGATGGATCTGGGCACACAGGAAAGAGAGGAGGGCCCAGGACATTCCCAGGGACCTGTGGCCTTTAGAGGCCATTTAGAGGAGATGGGGTTACAAAGATGACAGGGACAGGCCACACAGGTCGATGGAAAATGGGGGTGGGCTGGGACACAGAAGCAAGAGAAAAGTGTTCCCAGGAGGAGGAAATGAAAGGGGGAGGGGAGCCCATGGATGTGGCCATGTGGCGCTGCTGACTTCCGTGGAGAGGTGAGGAAAGATGCAGAGAAGGCCCACAGGGGAGACGCAGTAGATACGCCAGGCGCGGACAGAGAGGGTCTTATGGGAAGAGAAACGGTCTTGTGGCTGGAAGGGAAGGCAGGTTCAAGGCAGGGTCTAGTTTCTTCTTTAATGTTGGGGCTTCCTGGACGCTGCCTGAATGCTGTGGGCTTCTCTTGCTCTCCCCTCCATTGGGACCAGCCTGCCAGGGGCCTCAGGTGCCTAGAGACAGGTGGGCAAGGGCTGGGCTCTACCACGGGTCACATAGGTCGCTTTCTCTGTGTTGCCAGCACCTGGTACCGTGCTTGGCATTTAGTGGGTGCTCCACGAGGGCTGTAGAATGAGGGAATCTTCTGAAGGGGTGAGGCCCTGGTGCCAGAGAACAGCATTCCCTGGATTCAGAGTTGGGGGGACCTGCTTCACTTGGGAGTGACACAGACCTGGGTTTGAGCCCTGCCTCTGCCACTTCCTATGTCAGAGCCTGGGTGGCTCTCCAGACCTCAGTTTCTTCCTCTGTGACATGGTAGTCATAGTGTCTGTGGGGCCAGGGCTGCGTGGTTTTGGGAGGAGATGGTGGGTGGGGGCCTGAGGGTCCTGGGCACAGGTGAGGGTGGCTGGTAATAGAAAGCTGCCCTGGGCGGGTTGTTGGGCCAGCCTGTCACTTAACAGGCAGGATCCTCCAGAGTTTGGGAAGAAAGAGGTTCTGGGGTGAATTCTGCCCACCAGCTGGCCAGAAACTGATGGATAAATGACTGTGGTCCAAGCCAGTGAAGCCAAGTCTATCCCAGGGGCAGCTGTAGCAGCTGTTCTGGAAAATGATCATCAGAGTGATTTTATTTTTTAATGACATTTATTGAGCATTTACCACGGGCCAGGTGCTGGGCTAAGCAATTTCATTCCTCTCATTTAAGCCTCCTGAGAGGACCTCGGGCAGGTACTATTATTCCCATTGCACCAGGGAGGAAACAGAGGCGCAGAGAGGGAAAATTCTGGAACCTAGGCTTTCCACAGCCACACTAGCCTGCCTCTGAGCTTTTGGGATTTCTGTTACTGATAGAACATGTTCCACTTTTCTAAAGGCAATGAAGAGCCTCCAGCTCTGGGTCCTGGTGAGAAGGGCAGGGCCAGAGAGGCACTTGCCTGAAGGCCCACAGCACGTCCCGGCAGAGCTCTGATCCCTGGATGGGCCTGGGGCAGGGGAAGCTGGGGGACCGGGAAGCTACGGGCCGGAGCTTCTCCGCCTACCTGCCTGGTTCGTGGTGATGTTGACCACAGCGGCCCGGCGGGGCTCGGGGCTCAGGTCGGACACGCCATTGACGGCCTCTATCCAGAAGGAGTAGTTCATGTGGGCCAGCAGGTTGGCCACCAGCAGGCTGGCCTGCACCAGGCTTGTCTGCTGGGGCACAAAGCGGGTGCCGCTCCCACATGCCTCGCAGCGGCTCAGGGCCCAGGGGCAGCGGCGGCACACGGCATTGTAGGTGACGTCACTGCGGCCACCTGGGTCCAGGGGAGGGGCCCACTCCAGAGTCACCGATGTCCCATTCACACTGGAGATCAGGTTCACTGGTGCCGAGGGCGGCCCTGAGGGCAGAGGATGACAGGTGGGGCAGTGGTTATTTATTTGGGCCATCCTGTCTTCCTATCGTCAGACCTGGGGCTCCCCAAGGGAAGGGCTCCCCACCATATTTAGGGCTCCTTAAGGATAGGGTCACATCTACTCCATCCTCTGGAGCCTCCCCAATGGCAGAGTTTGTGTCTCTGCCATCAGACTGGGACCACAATGTCAGAGTCTGGGCACAGAACCCTGGGACCCCATCCCCCCCGCCCATCAGGACCACCGTGATCCCAGGGTCTGGGCGTCCCAGCGCCCACCCAGAGCGGCAGAGAGACCCCACAGTTCCGGGGGCGCCCATAGCAGCCACCCCGTGTGTAAGTGACCCAGGCATTTGCAGCCACATTCATTCCTTGACCCTTCTGAGCTGGATCTGATATAAAACGCCACTGAGCACGCACTGTAGGATTAAGTGGAGGTCCCCAGAAGCCCACTGCATATCCCCATGGCTGTGTGTACCAAGCAACCCCTCCCCAACCCCGGGCATGGGAGCCTCTGTCTGGGCAGCACAAAGACTCTGGAGAGAGAGGGGTGGCCCCTTGGTTGAGCAGACCAGGACGTGGGGCTGGGGCATGAGGGGCTGGGGTGGGGGTTTGAGCGAGGAGAGCATGGGGGTCTGTGGGGGCCCCTGGCCTCAGAATTCTAGTTTTCAGAATCCCAGGCAGAGAATCTTAGATCTTCAGAAAACAGAATTGTAAGATCTTGGAATCAGAATCTTACAATCTGAAGAGAAGAGAATTTTAACATCTGAAGGGTATAGAATACTAAAAGATCAGCCTTTATAGTCTTAAGCTTTCCAGAATCTAAAGGCACTGAACCGTGGGTGTGGAAAGAAACCAGAGTCCAGCCAACTCCATGCAAGTGTCCATGACCTGGGGCCAGACTGGCCTTGCCTGAGGAGCCCACGCTGTCACCCTGTCACCTGGCCACCCTTTCTGCCCCAACAGGTCCCACATGGGGAAAATGCACAGATCTGGGCAGGGCAGTGGAGGGAGGGTGTGTGTGTGTGTCTGTGTGTATGTGCACAAGCATGTAGGCATGAATGCACCTGGGCCCTCGCCTGCCATGTGCAGGGAGTCTGGGGCTGGGTGGTGATGGATGTATGGGAGGGGGAGATGGGCGTCGGTGCTTGGGTAGATTCAGAGCAAAATCAGAACAGTCTGAAGCACCTCTTGCCCTAACACAAGGGCCCAGGGTTGGCAACTGGGCTGGGCTGAGCAGGCTGTGGTCCCTCCCCAGGCCTGGAATGGGAGTATGAGTGGCCCGTCAGGACAGATGAGAGGAGAGAACCCAGGCACTGCATCAGCAGAAGGTAGGACAGTCATGAGGCCCTGCAGGCATGGGCGCAGAATCCCTCCCATACCTTTGGGTCTGCAGGGCTGGTGCACATGCAGCCACACCCTCTCCAGGCACAGGCACCCTTGCAGAGCCAGGTGTGCACATGCGCACACACACGTGCTGAGCTCACAAGACACCCTCCTTCAAGCTTTACAAGGACTTCTGAGTCCCTTTCAGGTACCCAGATGTACATACACCTACACACACACACACACACACACACACACACACACACCCCTCCTCCTAAGAATCCTTAATATATGTGATGAATCCTTTATATATGTGAGCTCAACTACACACCACACATTTACACGCAGGCATCCAAACACGATACAGGCGTCATCTGTAAGAGCAGCTGCCCACACAGACACATGCAGCCACACAATCCCTGCAGGGGGCCCAGGGCACACACAGAATCAGACATGCAAACTCCATGTGTGCACACACACGCACACACACCATACACACTTAAGGCAGCTCTCAGCATTCAGTAGTTCCAACAAGTTCATCAAAGATGATGGTGATGGAGGGGTTGCTGCTCTAACCCTCACCCTCTCCGCACAGGCCAGCACCCTGGCTTGCCCACCTGGCCCCCAGTACGTCGGCATCGCCGCTAGATCAAAAGATGACAAAAACTGCTCAGTGTGGTGAAGGAAGCGAGGCCAGCTCCATTCTGCCCTCCAGTGTAGGTGACACGTGGCAGAGGTGGGGAGCCCAGAGAGGTGTAGGCCACCGTGGAGGGGTCAGAGTCACCCCCCGACCCCAGTCTGACATCTAGCCCAAGAGAACCACCTGCCCCTGCCCTCCAGCACAGAACTAGTGGCCCGGCCCAGTCTTGGGCTCAAGGGTGCTGGCATCTGGGAGTGGTACTCACGGGTGCAGGCTGAGGACGGCGGGTCCAGGGCTGCGCGGTAGTAGCTGAGGTCACAGTGGCAGGCTTGGGCGGCTGGAGCTTCGGAGTGGCTGTGGGGAGGGCAGCGGGCACACAGCTGGTCCCCAGGGGCTGACTTGTAGAAGCCCAGCTCACAGGCTGTGGAGGAGAAGGTGGCTGCACGTGAGCCAGCAGGGCCACCCTGGCAGGCCTTGGGGACAGCTCGCACTGGGGCCCGCAGCTTCCTGGCGATCCCCCAGAGGGACGGAGGTGCAGACCTTCAGCACTGCCCAGTGCCGCCCTCATTTGCAGGTGGCAGAACTGAAGTGCAGAGGGGGCCTGTGTCTTCCACAGCCAGTCAGGGCAGAGCTGAAGTGAAGACCCTGACATGGGAGTCCCAGCCTCAAAGTCAGCCCCACCCCGAGTGTCTCCAAATTCTCCCACCCTCCTCTGCTCCCTCCCCCAGGCCTTGTCTCCAGCTTTAGGGGTGGAGATGCTGTCCTTCTGTCCTTTATGGGACACTGGTCCTTAGGTGGGACACCAGCCTAGGGGCCAGGGCCACGGGGCTGAGGATCAAATGCCCTGGGAGTGACTTGGGTGGGATGAGGAAGCCGGCCAGGGACGGGGTTGCTGGCAATGCGACTAGAAAGGCGAGGACACGTGGTAAGATCCATCACTCCCAAACACGGGCAGACACGGAGCCACCTCTGTAAAAGTACAGATTCCTGGCCCCACCACAGACAGCTGAGTTAGAAGAGCCAGGGCCAGTACCTGGGGATCTGTTTTACAAGTCCCCGTGGGAGGGTGACTATCCAAGAAGTGCAGGCTCCTCCCCTCCCGGGCCCACGCTGTCACTGTCACTGTCACTATGGTTGGGACTGACCCTCTCTCCAGCCTCTGCCACACCCTACCTCATCTCTCACCCACAGCAGCCTTCAGACTCAGCCTCCAGCCCTGCCTCCACCCCACAGCTGCCTGCATGATCATGCTTTCAGTCAACCACTGTTCATGAGCGCAACTCTGGACCAGGCCTGTTTGGGCTCCGGGGGCTGTGAACCAGAGCCACTGGCTCTCAGCTGTGATCACTGCTACGAGGGAGAGAGAGAAGAGGGGGCTAAGGTGAAGGAAGGGTAAATGGTGGGAGGAGCTACTTCCCAGAGGAGGAGATGATATTTGAGTTGTGGCCTAAAGAATAAGAACAAGTCCACTGTGTAGGGAGGGGGATACCCTCGGTTGAGGGAGTCTCCAAAATGCACATCTCAGACAGTCACTGCCTATTTCGCGCCTCACAGGCTCCCCAGGGCTTACACAATGAAACCTGGTGTTCAAATCCCTCCCTGCCCGGCCAAAACCCACTTGCAGCCTCCTTTAGTGCTGCCCCTCACCCCCATCCTTAGGCCAAACTAAAGCACTGGCTGATCCCCACACCCAGCCGACTGATTCCTGCCTCAGGCCCTTTGCACATGCTGTGCCCTCTTCCTGCGATGCCTTTTCTCCTTTGTCCACCTACTGAGCTCCTCTTTTAAGATTAATTTTGACTGTCCCTTCTGGAACTCTAGACACACACACACACACACACACACACACACAGAGAGAAAGGACCATTCCCCGCCCTGCTCCTGCAGCCCCTGCTTGGCCTCACCACCTGCAACACTATGGCTGTACTCGCTTGTCTGGGTCTGACTCTCTTTCTAGACTGAGAGGCCCTCGTGGGCAGATCCTTGCAAACAGAGTAGGACTCCCTTATTCATCTCAATGTCCCAGAACCTCGTCCAGTGCTAGCCCTGGGCAGATGCTGTTAAACTCCAGGCAGGAGTTTTCAAATTGAGTGGATCCCACCACTACCTGCTCTGGGCAGAAACCCTAGAGGTTCAGGGAGACCAAATGCCACCCAGCCAGGCAGCTCCCAGGTGCGTCCATGGAGCTGAAGTCCTTTGCAACAGGGACCACCAGGAAGTTCACTGCGGTTCTCTCTCCACTAGATCCTGTTCTGGAAAACTTAGTGCCTGAGAGAAGCTTCATTTACAAAGACATCACGCCACTGCAGAGCATTTCTTCTCTGGATGTTGATCGTATCTCTTTATTATAAAAGCTAAAACCAGGTTCATTTGTACAATTCTACAAACTTGAGAGAAAACCTGGAGTCAGGAGAAATGGTAACGCCCTGAAGTTGCTTCACACTCTAGAAGGCTGCAGAGCCAGAAAGGGCTTGTAAGTGGCAGGGTGCGGGAAAATACCTCCCAGTGTTGCGACATCTTTCCCTCCCCTCCAGAGGACCCCCAGAGGGCTCTGGCCTGCCTGGGGGCTGAGCTCAAGGCTGGGAGCTCGGAGTCCTGGGGAGTCTTGATTGACACACTGTGATCTTGCCTCCTCTTCCTAGAAGCCCCCCGGGAGGCTCAGTCCTGGGGCACAGCCTGGGGCGCAGGCTCCTTCTGAGCCCCTGGGGCCACTGGCATCATCAGAAGAGGGCTTTGCATTTTGTCAGCAAATATTTGTTGAACCTGTTGTTGAGCTGAATAACAGCAATCCTCACTGCAATGATCCAGTCCACAATGATTAACACCTCGGAGACCGTTTGCTTCTTCCCTCCCTCATTTATTCCTTTCTCCAAATTTACTGAGCTTCTACTATGGACCCAAGAGAAGTAAGAGCTGGGCCTGCTCTTAGGGAGCTTCCAGGGCATTGGGAGACGGACAAACAAAGCCTCATGGCGTGATGCGGGGCCTGAGGGAAGCCAGAACCACAGCTGGTCCTGCAAGTCTCTGACCCTTTCCAGGGCCCACCTGGTCCTTGCCAGGCCTGAGCAGAAACTCGGGAGCAGTGCCTGGGTTCCCGTCCTTGCCTAACCCCCTTTATCTGAGCTCGGTGCCATTGGGCAAGTTGCTGGAAGTCAGTTTCCTCGTCTGTAAGGTGGAGATCATAATTCCACCCGCCTTAGAGGGAGATGGCAAGGATGACATGAGTGAAGACATACAAATTGATGCCAGGGCAGTGCCTGGCACTTGTTGTTATAACAATTTGATGTAGCTGGAATTCTTACAATTGTTTGACAGAAGAGGAAACAGAGGCTCAGGGAGCCTGAGTGCCTTGCCCCAGGTTCCCAGCAGAGCCAGGCCGTGCAGCCAGGCCGGGGAGCCTCTGGAGCTATGGCCTTTCCCCCTGTCTTCGCAGCACCATCCCAGAGCTGAGAGATAGCTGCGCCGCTGTGGCTCACCAGTCGGCAGTCGGTATTAGCTCGGCTAATACCCATATGGCTATAACGTGTCAAGGCCAGATTAATCCACGCAATGAAAATAAAATAATCTTTAATAAGAATACTAATCACCAGGCCTCAGGGAGCCCAGAGACCTGGAGGCTGGGCCGGGAATTAATGGCTGAGACAGATGGAGCAGCTCTGGGCTGGGGCCCGGCCCTGCCTGTCGACCCGGGGTGCTTCCGGAGCCCGCGTGTGCCCGGGTGTCGGGCCGCAAGCCAGGAGGGGCTCCTGCCCCTGCCGAGGGCACCTTGCCCAGGCCGCCTGTCAGGCCAGCAGCTGCCTGCGGCCCCGGCCACCTCTCTGCTCTCCCCCGCAAAGAGCCGGAGATTTGACAAATAAGGTGTCCGCCGGTGGACAACCAAAGGAAATTAATTCTAAATCAGATTTTAAACACAGTCAGGAAGGCAAAAGAGCTCGCCGTTCCCGCTCCCCCTCCGAAATGAGACTCTGATATTTATAGAAAGATGATTAGGGCCACGAAGGGTGATTTATATTCTGCGTCCAGGTGACAGGAAGGACGGCAACCAGGACTTCAGACTCTGGGCTGCTGCCCTGTTGGGTGATGTGCTGAGAGGCCCTTCCCCTTTGTGGGGTGAACCGGGGTGCAGGGGGGTGCTGGGAAGTACAGCCTGGTGTGGGGAGGTCACTGGATCCAGAGTTGTGGAGTTTGGGGAGCTTCCTCTGGTCAAGGAGTCGGGAGATGTGAGATTCTATCAACCACCCCTCACTGTGTGCCCTTGGGCTAGTCACTTCACTTCTCTGGGCCTCCAATTCCCCAGTGGTAAACTGGACGAGCCCCACATCGCTCTGACATTTTTCCATGGGTCTCTGAGGCCTGAGTGCAATCTAAGCAAGACCTCTAAAGAGCCATGTGACCTGGTGGATCCCTTATCCCAGGCTATACTGTCTTCTTCTGCAAAATCAAGTACTGTCTGGCCACCTTCTGAGGGTACCTCTGAGGGCAAAACCCGAGGCAGGGATGGCAGCTGTAGAAGGGGGCCTGGCCGCTACTGTGGGTCTCAGGCTCTCGACCCCTGCTCCTGTCACTAGAAGGACAAGGAGTCAGGGCTGGGTGAGCTGAGACCCCTGACTCCACGCCCTTCCCCTCCTTAACTGCTTGCTGAGAGAATTGCCCAAAAGGGATCCGGATGTCCTCAAACCAGGCAGGGGCCCCATGGACCTCAGCAGATCTCCTGAAGACTCCCTCAGGCTGGGCAGGGGCAGCCCCAGCTTGCAGAAAACATCTCAAGTATCCCAGGAAAAGTACCCCACTCTGTTCCCAGCCCCTCCTTTGCCCCAGGCCATCCACTAAGGAGCCGGGCAGCTCCAAAGAGGTCAAGGGCTTCTCCAGGGGTGGAAAGGGGGACAAGGCGGGGCTCTTGGACCTGGCTACCACTTGTGAAGGGCCTTGGTTTGGGACCCGTGCTGCCCTTCCCAAATGAAGTTATGCAGCTACAGAAGCCACCAACGGGGCTGAGAAATGTCTTTCCTTGTGCGACTTAAAACAGGCTTTCCGTTCCCAAATCTCACTGCCTGCAGTGCACTATGAATTAATATTTTTTATAAAACCTGTAATTATCTTGAAACCGGCATAATTATGTTGTATTATGATTTAAATGTAAAATTCAAAATATGCTGCAATTCCCTAACTCCGCTTTGGCATTTCTTTTTATTTGTTATTAATGTGGCAGCAGCACCAGGAAATAGGAGTGGCCTTGGCCTCTCCCAGCCCCCATGAGGTCCTGCCACTCAGGCCCTGGGTTTTCCACTCAGAGCCCCACCCCGATGTGCTGTGAAAATTGGGCAAGATACATTCCCTCTCTGGGCTCCGCTTCCTTCCTCTGCCACAAGAAGACTGCGGCGTTACCTGAGGCCTCCAACTGAGGTCGTGACCCCAAAGACAGGAGGGCAGGTCTCCTTCCTACAGACAAATGTGGCTCAGTGCACCCGGGACAAATGATTGGCGCATTTGTACTCGTTGGCTAAATCCAGAGGTGGGGATGGTGGCCGACCGTGAGTGCATATGCACCAGCCAACCAGCCAGATTGTTATGACTTATGCTGTACCAGTTACTAACCATCCATCCGAACGCTACCCCACGGAGGAGGGAAGTGGGGCTTCGCAGAGGGCGCTGTGCACAGAGGAAGCCATTGAAGGTGCTGGAATCAGGCAACCTGGGATCAGATCACTACTCTGCTACTTAAGTTGAGGGGCCTCAGTTTTTCTTATCTGTAAAATGGGACTATAATACTTAGCTTAGAGGACTGTTGTAAGGATAGGAAACTGCTAAGTCCCCAGAGGCAAGGACTCCCCGTACCTGTATCCCCAATGCCGGGACACAGTAGATGCTCAGCAGAATGGATAACTGTATAACATCAAAAACGAAAAATCATCACTAAGGTCCTTCATTATCCCCATCAGAATGAGGGGATGTTTGGAGCAGCTCTGGCGGGCGGAGCAGCTCTGGCGGGCAAAGCAGCCAGGGAGATGCTAAAAGCCTGTATCTAGCTCAGAGCAATACAGACCTGTCTTCAGGCTCCAGCTCCAGCTCTCACCAGCTGTGAGGCCTAAGCAGGTGACACTACCTCTTACACCTCAGCTTCCCCATCTGTAAAATGGAATTGTGATACCTGCCTTGCTGCAATGAGCAAATGAGCTGGTATGTGATGCACCCCACTATAAGCTGTGAAGGCAATAGGGGTGTTGGTTGTTTTTCTTCCCCAGTGCAAAGCTGAGCCATACGGGGCTGTCTGTGACAGTAACCATGAGAGGCTTGTGGCCTGGGGAGCCTGGCAAACCAGGCTGCAGAGGGCAGAACAAATCCAGAAATGGGCAAACGCCACAGAAGGTGCTTTGGGGTTTAGAGCTCAGGACAGGAGAAGACTCAGAAATTGGGGATGTGAAACAAAATTTCTTAAGAAAACCAGATAATGGGTTGGAGGCGGTGGCTCACACCTGTAATCCCAGCGCTTTGGGAGGCCGAGGCAGGCGGATCACTTGAGGTCAGGAGTTTGAGATCAGCCTGGCCAACATGGTGAAACCCCGTCTTTACTAAAAATACAAAAATAAGTTGGGCGTGGTGGTGGGTGCCTGTAATACTAGCTACTCGGGAGGCTGAGGCAGGAGAATTGTTTGAACCCGGGAGGCGGAGGTTGCAGAGAGTTGAGGTCACACCATTGCACTTCCGGCCTGGGCAACAAAAGTGAAAACTCCATCTCCAAAAAAAAAAGGAAGGGAGGGAGGGAGGGAGGAAGGAAGGAAGGAAGGAGAAAGAAAGAAAAGAAAGAAAAAAGAAATAAAAGAAGAAAAGAAAGAAAGAGAGAACCATCGAGCCTCTGGGAAGGGCTGGAAAGGGCCTGGTGGCTGCAGGGAAGATCCTGGCCCCAGAGATCTCTGGGTAAGATGGCTCCTAAATGGAGCCAGCTGGATTCCATCCCCACCTGTTATTACCTGAGGCTGTCAGCCTATGTCATGCCCAGTCCTGTTAGTGCTTAGGGGCCTTTCCTGCCTGCCTGCTGGGGGCAGAGGGATGGGTGATGAGGACTAAAGATCCCTCTCACTGTGGTCCCAGGGCCTGTGTAGTAGCAGCAAAAGGCTAGGAGCATATTCCCAGCGGCTGACAAGGGCCCCGTTCCAGTTGTCACTAAGGGTATCTGGGGACAGGCTCTTGTCTCTCTGATCCCTGCATAGGAACATCCCCCTCCCTTTTACCTCCTCTGTCTCCTCTTTTGAGATCCAACGATCTCAAAAGCCAGGCTTCACTGTGCCCCGGGAGCTGAGCCACTATGTGCCCAGCCACTGATGAGACCAAAGAAAACAACAGAGAGAAGCTGAGCCAAGACCAGGAGCAGCTGGGCACCTGCTGTTTGTCCACACAAGCTTGCTTAGTGTTCCCTGCTCTTGGGGTGCCCAGCTGAACAGACTCCCCCACATGCACACACACATGCACACACACATGCACACACACGCACACATGCACACATACACTCATGCACACATGCACACATACACCCACACGCACGTGCACACACATGCACACACTCATGCACACATGCATGCATACACTCAAGCGCACATGCACACACATGCATACATACACTCACGCACATATGCACACACATACACACTGATGCACACATGCACACACATGCACTCATGCATACACTCACATGCACACACACACACACTCATGCACACGTGTGCACACATGCACAAAGTCACACATTACTCATGCACACATGCACACACACATACAATCACGCACACATGCACAATACACTCGCACATATACACACACACGCACACAGACTCATGCACACATGCACACAAACATGCACACACACATGCACACACACACATGCACACACATGCACACAGTCACGCACATGCACACACACTGCACAAATATGTGCACACACTGCACACATATGCACACACACTCACGTGCACACGCACACATACACTCACATGCACATGCACACACGCATACATACACTCACGTGCGTGCACACACACACGCACATACACTCACGCGCACATGCGCACATACACTCACGCGCACATGCACACACTCAAGGGCCATCGTGCACATATGCACACACGCACATAGACACACACATGCACAGATACACTTGCACACATGCACACATACACTCGCACACACATGCACACACATGCACACGTACACTCATGCTCACAGGAACACATACACTCATGCACACATGCATACACACTCACACGTGCACACACATGCATGCATACACTCATGCACAAATGTACACACATGCATACATACACTCACGCACACATGCACACACACATGCATACACATTTGTGCACCCGTACATACGTGTACATACACTCACGTACACATGCACACACGTACCCACACATGCATATGTACACTTGCACACACGCATACATACACTCACACCACCTGGGCCTAGGCTCCCCCGTCTGCATGCCCTGCTCCTGGTCCGACACAGGAACCCAGCAGCACACCTATGGGTACAGGTGCCACCCTAAGTCATGGCCCAGGGGCTCTCTGCTCACTGTCTTCCTCCACAAGGCCCTTGCCTGTCTTCTAGCACAGGTCGCTGATAAGCTCCCCCTGAACAGAAGCAGCCTTTTCAGGGCCCCAGGGACAGGCCCAACCCAGACTGTACTCCCCGGGTGCCCCTGGCTTTATACCCCTCACTGTGCTCATTCACCCAGGGCCTGGGTCCCACTTCCCTCTACTCTACAGGTTAGAAGTTCAGTGGTTTCGAGCACCAGCTCTGGAACCAGACTTCTGAGTTGAAATCCCAGCTCTGCCATCCCCAGCTGCATGACCTTGGGCAAGTTGCTTTGCCTCTCTGTGTCTCAGTCTCCTCATCTATAAAACCAGGACAATAGCAGTTCCTATGTCATAACGCAGTGGCCAGGATTCAATGAGTTAACACTCGCAAAGTGCTTAGAACTATGTCTGACCTGAGTTAGCCCACGGTATCGTTCCCTAATCCGAGTAGGAATCCCATAGCATACCCAATTGCACAGGTGCCTTTAGCTGGTACCCCCGACAGAAGGCACCGCCTGGCTGAAGTCTGTTTCCCTCCCTCTCCCCTCCCCCTTCTTGCTTCCACGTCCTTCCCCAACACACGGACACAGGTGGCCTGGCATATTTGCTGATGTAGGAACACTGGAGGTTTATCCATCTTCCCAGGGGCTGTGTGGGCCACCCAGGTGCCTGTGGGCTCTGACGTCCCCCCTCACACCCTGGCAGCCCTGCCCAGACCAAGCGCCGCTGCCGGCTGACCCATGCCCAGGCCATGGCGCGCTCACCCACACAGGCATCCCGCCGCTCCTCGTAGCCGGCACTGCACACACATTTGCCGATGGGCACCAGCCACTCGCCCTCCGCACTGCAGTACATCTTGGGCGTGTCCCGCTCCTCCGAGTGCCGCACGCACTGGCCCCGCACCTCCACCAGTGAGGAAGAGTCAGCCCCCGTCACTGCCTCCGAGAAGGCAGCCAGATTGCGCACCATGGCGGGGCACTTCTTATAGTAGATGCGGAGAGAGAGGATGGCCAGGCAGGCACCGATGTCCTGGAAGGCCAGGTAGAAGCCGCGCTTGCTGAGGGGACCCACACCGCGCACCTCCGTGTTGAGCTTGAGACGCCGCACACCAAGGTCGGCACCTGTGAAGCTCTCGTCGGCCGCAATGGTGTCGATTTTGAGGAACTGGCTTTCTTGCGTGCTGGCCCCCAGGTCGCGGTCCGACTCCAGGTAGTAGAGGTTGAAGGTCTCCTTGCAGGTGCCCAGCACGCCGGGCATGCTGTTGCAGTCGCGCAGGGTAAACTTGATCTCGGCATAGACGCGCCGGGCGCCGTCGCGAGGGACCCAGCTCGTGCGCAGCCAGTTGTTCTGGTTGGGGCTCATGACATTGCACACCTGGTACGTGTGGATGGGCTGGAAGGACTCGTCCACCTCGTTGATGGAGTCCCACTGTGGGCAGAGAGAACACAGCCACTGAAGCACAGCCAGCACCTCACCTTCTTTTGCCAGTGACCCTGTGTTTTGTGCTGGGGACGCTGGGAAAAAAAAGACAAAGGAGCTGGCCTGCTGGTGGACTGTCATAGCTACCAGATGCCAGGCCCCCTGAAGATGTGATCTCGCAGAGGGCCACAATCTTCAGGGGAAGTGTTATTTACTAACTCTTGAGATGAGGAAGTAGAGGCTCTGACCTGTGAGCCACATGTGTGAGGTCATGTCGTTATCGAGCAACGGCTGGACGGGAATCGGGCCTGCCTGATGCCAAAGCTCTGCCCTCATTTCTCTATGGCTCCTCCTATCTTTCTTAGAGTGGGAGGACTTGCCTGGTGAAGTCAGTAAGTCCAATTTCCATATCAGTTGCCAGAGGGATCTTTCTAATATACAAACCAGATTATGCCTTGCCCCCACCTCAAATCCTTCAGCAGCCTCTCCTGCACTGCTGCTTGTTGAGTGACTGCCTGATCCACAGACTCCCTCCACCCTGCTCTTCTTGCTGTTTCCCTGGGCTGGCCTGGGTCCCACTCAAGGGAATCCCAGGATGTGAGAAAGTTGAGTGTAATTGCTTCTGTGCTGCCTGCTGGCTGGGCATCAGTGATTTCAAAATAAACCAGACACTCTCAACAAACTGAAAAGGTAACCCATGAAATGGGGGAAGCTATATGCAAATCATGTAGCTGATAAGGGATTAATATCCAGAATACGTAAAGAATTCCCACAACTCAACAACAACAGAAAAGAAACAGTCTCATTAGAAAATGGGCAAAGGACGTGAACAGACATTTCTCTAAAGAAAATATTCAGATGGCCAAATGAAAAGATGCTCAACATCGCTAATCATTAGGGAAATACAAACCAAAACCACAATGAGATACCACTTCATACACATTAGGATGACTGTTATAAAAAATAATAATAATAAGGCTGGATACGGTGGCTCACACCTATAATCCCAGCACCTTGGGAGGCCGAAGCAGGTGGATCACCTGAAGTCAGGAGTTCAAGACCAGCCTGGCCAACATGGAGAAACCCCATCTCTACTAAAAATACAAAAATTAGCCAGATGCAGTGGCGCGTGCCTATAATCCCAGCTACTCGGGAGGCTGCGGCAGGAGAATCACTTTAACCTGGAAGACGGGTTGCAGTGAGCCAAGATCGCACCACTGTACTCCAGCCTGGGCAACAGAGCGAGACTCCCTCTCAAAAAAAAAAAAAAAAAAAGATAATAATAAGTGTTGGCAAGGATGTGGAGAAATTAGAACCATGTGCATTACGGGTGGGACTGTAAAATAGTGCAGCTGCTGTGGAAAACAGTATGGCAGCTTCTCAAAGTGTTTAAAATAGAATTACCATATGATCTGGCAATCCCATTTCTGGGTATATATCCCAAAGAATTGAAAGCAGGGTCTCAAAAAGATATCTGTACACCCCTATTCATAGCGGCATTATTCACAATAGCCAAAATGTGGAAGGAACCCAAGCGTACGTCAATGAACCAGTAGATAAGCAAAATGTGGTATATACCTATCACAGAGTATTAGCCTTGAAAGGGAAGGAAATTCTGATACACCTTAAAGACATGCCAAATGAAATAAGCTAGAAACAAAGAACAAATATCATTAGGATTCCACGTATATGCAGTACCTAGTCAGATTGAGAGAGACAGAAAGTAGAACGCTGGCTGCCAGGGGCTGGCAGGGAGGGGGCAGTGACTGTTTAAGTGTGCGGAGTTTCCATTTTGCAGGATGAAAGGAATCCTGGCAGTGGTGGTGGTGATGGCCACACAGCAATGTGAATGCACTACATATCACCGAGCTGTGCACTTAAAAAGGGTTAACACGGTAAACTTTACATTATGTGTATTTCATCAGAATAAGCAAGCAAGAAAGAAAGATACCACAAACACTCCTTGTCCCAAGTGCCCCGGGTCCACCAGACCAGGCAGTGCCGGGTGATGAGCCAAGGGAATTCAGGTGGGTAAGACTCCCAGGCCCCTCCCCAGCCCTCCTGGGTGTGGGCATCTGTAGTTTACCTGTCAACCTGGCACTGCAATGAAGCAGCACCCTCTTGCAAGGGTGGAGGTCTGCAGAAGACAGGGAAGGGGACAGCCCTAACTTCCTCAGTTGCTGAGCACCAGCTGGCCAGGAGCAGTCCTTGTTGAGTTGACTTCAGGGACTCATGAGGGCTCCAAGGAGGAGCTGGAGGACGAGGACAGAGGAAGGGTTGGTCTCTGGGCCCCTGTCCTGGTTCCTTCACATATGCAACACCTTGACCTTCTTCAATTGTCCTTGAACGAGAGAGCCTACTGCTTAAAGGGGGAGGGGGGCTTCATGACCAGATGCTCTGAGAACCTGTGGAGTTCTGGGCTTATTCCACAAGTGCTAGAGAGAAGGTCATGGGCATCTCAAGTCTTTTCCTGCCCATCCCAAGCCCCTCCATCTAGTCTCGTCTTGATCCTCAGTGCCCACAGCTGTAAAATGGGACTCAAGTAGGCCCCACTTCAGCTAGGTTTGAGAGGATGCAGTGGGAAACTTTCTGCAAAGTGCTTAGCTCAGGCCTGGCACAGGAAGGCACTTGACGAATGGCCCGAATATGACACTGAACTGGCAGCATCTTCACAGCCCACCGCACCTGCCTCCAGGGACCATGTGGGAAGATTTCCTGTTTCCAAAGGGGTCCCAGGAAGTGCAAGCCTCACCTGAAAGAGTTTATGCTTCCAAGTCTCCCCAACCCAAGAAGGACCCCTGCTCCACACCCTGCTCTGCTGTCAGAGGCTCCAGGCAGCACAGCATCACATCTGGGGTTAAAGTCATTGTCACAATTAATGGAGCACCAAAGAGCCAGCCAGCTGCTCCCTGTCTGTTTCCTGCCAGGGACCCGGATAAATTAATCGGCTCAATCTGAGTCTACTACAGCTGCCCCAGCGGGGCCAATGGTCTGGCCTAGCCCTGCCAACCCCAGGAGCTGCTGCAGATGCCCAGAGTGGCACAGACTCTGGGAGGTCTGGTGCAAGGGCAGAATCAGCACTGTTCTCTGCCTGGGGCACCCCCACCCCATGCTGGGTGCCACTCCCATCTCCGCTGCTTCTCAAGCCCAAAAACTGACTCTGGCACACTGCTCCCCCAACTCTGCCCAGATCAGAATGCAGTGAACCAGCTGTGCAGCGCTTGCTGAGGCACATCCCTTCTCTGAGGCTTGGGCTTCTCTTCTGTAAAACAGGGTAGCGAATGCCTGCTCCTTCCGTCTACTCCAGGGGGTGCAATGGAAATTAACCTGCCCGCTTACCTAAAGCAGCATTCGTTAGTCCATGTTAATTAGCCAGAGCAGGCGGAGCACGTCCCAGCCCCAGCGTGCGGAAGTTCCCGGGAGCAGAGGGAAGGACGCAGCCTGATGAAGAGCAGAGGGTCTGGGCCAGACCTCCCCGTCTTCGCAGAATTACTTCGCCTCTGAGAGCTTTCAGTTTCTCGTTGGTAAAACGGCCTTTTCATGTATCATCCCATTGGTGGCACTGCACGGAGCAGTTCTAAGATTGTCCCCATGTTATAAATGAGGAGGTGGAGACGAAGTAAGTGATCTGCCTGAATCACACTGACTACAGGAGGCGGAGCCCCAGTTCTTCAGGACCCAGCGCCCTGGCCCTTCAGGTTCTGCACCTGTCTGACAATCGTGTAACATTTCTGAGGCTGGAAACTGCCCTGGGTGACCCTTGTCCTCAAGCTACTGAATGGACTCCAGAGTCAGAGGGACGGATAGAACCTCAAGGACTATCTCCAGAGGTTCCCCCTCCCAGCTGGGCAGGAGAATCACCTGGAAAGCTGATTATTTTTTATTTTTATTTTTTGAGACAAGATCTCTCTCTGTCACCCAGGCTGGAGTACAGTGACTCACTGGAGCCTCGACCTCCCAGGCTCAAGCAATCCTCCTACCTCAGCCTCCTGAGTAGCTGGGACCACAAGCGCACACCACCACACCCAACTAATTTTAATATCTTTGTACAGAAAGCATCTCACTATGTTGCCCAGGCTGGTCTCGAACTCCTGGTCGCAAGCAAGCCTCCTAAAATGCTACACTTACAGGTGTGGGCCACCATGCCTGGCTCCCTGGAAAGCTTATTAAACAGAAGATTCCCAGGCCCTTCCACAGACCTCCTGGATGTGGAACTCTGCAGGCTTCACCTGCTAGCCTGGCACAGGTTCAAAGTCTAGAGTTTGGGAATCAGGCATGTCATTCCAGCCTTCCCTCCTCTCCGAGAAGCCCCAGTCTCCAGGCCCCCTGACGATGGCAGGTGGTCCCTGGCTCAGCAGAGAGTGCAGGCTTGCCTCCCCATCTCATGAAACGGTCACAGAGTGGGCCTTACTGCCTGCAGTTCAAAGGTGGCATAAGGGACTCACCACAGGCTCTGGGCTCAGAGAGACCCAAGTTTAAGTCCCGGCTTGCGATCAGCTGGAACCTGCCTGATGATGGGCAAATTACTCCTCACTGCGCTGAGCCTCAGCTTCCTCACCTGTGAAGTGCGGCGGCTGCACCCACCTCAAGGATTGGTTGTGGGGAGTGATGAGATCACGCCTGTGACCTGCTCAGAGCTCAGTGAAGTTGCCTGATTTGTTCGAACTCGCGAATGCAATGCCAGAATGCTGAGCTATGCTTTATAGCGCCCTGCACGAAAACCCACCTGACACTGCCAGTGTGAGCGTCCAAAACACGAGGCCAGCCATGCTCCCCACCTGCTGAAAACCCTGACAATTCCTCGCTACCCTAAACACCAAGTCCGATGCTCTGGGCGGGATAAAGACACCCCGGAGCCAGCCAGGGCCCAGGCGTGCCCTCCTAGCTGCTGGGACTCAGGGGAATGCCAACTCAGCCAACCACCATGCAGTGAGGGAGGAACCAGGACCCGTCTCCTCATGGGTGGAACCCTGACACGGGGGCCAGCTCACTGCACCAAAGCCTTCCACACCACACTCACGCGGGGAAGACAGCCACACCAAGGAGCGTTTTACAGAGCAGGGGACTGACACGCTGCGAGGTAAAGGGACACCCCAAGCACCCAGCCTCCGTCCTCGGGCAGTGGTGCTGGCTCAGGTGATGAGGGCTTTCTCCAGGCTCAGGGACCTGGAGAGCCAGGGCCATGTGGCCCGCCCCCGGCTCCCGGGAGCCCGGTGCATGAGGGTTGATAACAGGCTCAGCTCACTGCTGCCTGGTGACCAGACCCCCAGAGAGAGAGGAGCGGGGCCATGTCTAGACTTCCAACCACAGGCCCCCTACAAAAGGCCCAGATGAAAACTCTACCCAAAGTCAAGAAAGGCCCTTCATAAGTGTTAACTGTTGGTGGCATTATCATCATCATTATTGATATTATTATCCCTCTGTCCTCACAGCCATAGAAGCTGAACGTGGACATGACAGAACTCAGGTATGCACCATGTGCCCGTGTCCGTGGCAGGGATGTGTGCGTGTGTGTGTACGTGCACGCGTGTGTGTGCATGTGTGTGTTTCTGAGCACCCTGGTGAGAGGAAGTTCATGTGACGGTAACTGTGTGAGATAATACACGTGAGTAACAATGCTAAAGATCATTATAAAAGCCTACGTTCATTGAGGGCTCACCCTGTGCCAGACTCAGTGCCAAGACTGTGTCATCTGCTCTCGCCCTGCCGCAGACCTAGGAGGTCATCACAGGCTTGTCCCTTTCTATAGATGGGGAAACTGAGACTCAGAGAGGTGAAGTGGTGACCCAAGGCCACCTGCTTGTCAAGGGCAGAGCCGGGATCTCACCAGGCTCGTGGGCTCACTCCTATTCTACTGCCCTGCCCCCGCAGGATTCAGAGAAGAGACGCAGAGGGACGGGGCAGTGCAGCCTGCTCACTGCAGCTCCTCCCCAGGAGGATGGGGGCACGGCCTGTGAGCACATTACCCACAGCAACATGAAGGCCGAGTCCAGAGTCACCATGCAGGCCTGGGAACCTGGCCACTTGGGGAGACAGACAAGCAGAGACTCCAGAGGTCGGAGGACTGGTGAGGCCAGGGCAGCTGGGAGGGAGGGAGCAACCCAGAAGGCAGGAAGGCCTGGCTGGCCTTCTTTAGTCCTGGTCTGGCACCTCATGAATCTGTAGGATGCAGCCATGGGGATCCCTGGATCTAGGGCCTCAGACTTGAAGAATCAGGGATCTGTTGCCAGGGTTGGTTCTGTAATCTCAAGGGTCTGTATGCACTAAACTGTTAAGAGATCAGCAGCACTAACTGCTGTGTGCCCTTGGGTAAGTCTCTTGACCTCTCTGGGCCTCTGCTTCCTTTTGATTGATCTCATGCAGACTCTGAGTGGCAGCCTCTCTCCGCTCACAGGGGGATGACATTGTCCCCACTGCCCGTCACTTACACCATGAGCCGGATACGTGAGCCAGCCCCAGTCCCCGTGGATGGTCGATGTGTCCAGCAAATTCACTGTAAAACAGGAGACAAGAGGGCATCAGGCCCCTGTAACCTCTCCCCAGCTCCTCAAGCGCAGCCTGACCCAGCTACACTGGTCCACACTCAGCCCCCAGCACACAGCTCACATGGGTCCCTCTGCCTGAACGCCCTTTCTCTCTTCCCCTCTCCTTGAAGGCCCAGTTTAAGTTCTCTTCCCTGAAGCCTTCCTCTCACCCTCTTGGCCAAAAAGTAATATTCTGAACTCCCAGAGCACAAGCTGTTCCAAGTGCCAGACATCCTTGGTTGCTGGCACAGTGGGATAGTTAAGAGGTGGGCTCGAGGCTGGCAGGCCTCAAAATCCTAGTTGTGCCACTTAGGAGCTGTGTGTCCCTGGGCAAGTCCCCTCACCTCCCTGAGCCTCCGCTTCCTCCTCTGTAAAATGGGGTAATAACGATTTCGGTCCCACAGGACTTTTGTGATGATGACCTGACCCTTGTCTCCTGTAGGAGCCATGATGGCATTCAAGGTCCATGCTGCAAAGTCATACCTCCCATCGGAGGACTGGCCCCAGCTTAATAATTACCCTGTTCCCCCAGCATGGTGCCTGGCATCTAGCATGTCCTCTGTGCACATCTGGTGTGGGGGGGCTTGGGGGGTAAGAGCTGCCTCTTAGTGAGCACCTACTATGTGCCAATATCTGCAAGGGGAGCTTGAGATACCTCATCTGCGCCCCCGCACAACAACCTGAGAGGCGGCCATTATTATCTCCATTTTACAGATAAAAGAACCGAACCTCAGGGAGGTCCGGGAATGTGCCCAGAGCCCCACAGGTGTAGCTGGCAGGGCTGGCATTCAGAGCACCTGCTTTAGCAACTGCAGGCCATCACCATCCCTGGATGCTCAGGCCCGAGAAGCAGAACCTCTGGGTAGTCTCCACGGCGGGAAAGGAGCACTGGCCCAAAGGGCAAGTCACTCTAAGTCAGGCCCTCTGCAAAGGAGAGGCTGCAAGCTCAACACGGTAGGGAAAAGAGCCCATCTTGGGGGTCAGACATTCCTGGGCCCACGTCTCAAGGCAGCTACTTATTAGCAGGTGACCCTCAATTTTCGCATCTGTAAAATGGGTTCATAGTACCCAAGGGTGGGATGAAGGTCAGGAAAGTATGTAAAGCCTGGAGCCAGGGCTGGTCCTTAACAACACTAGTTTCCCTTCTCTAAGTCCCTCGCCCCCCGCCTCTCTCCATTTCCCTTGTGTCACTCCCTCATTTAAGGTGATACAGATGCATTATGCTGTTTAGAAATCAGGGCTCAGGCTTCAGCTGTCTCTAACTGCTGTGTGTCCTTGGTCAAGTCCTTTCACCTCTCTGCTTCCTTTTGGCTAGCTGGTGATTGCTGTATGAGAGGCTCTTGGCTCCAGAGTCCCACAGCTTTCCCTTTCACTCTGCTTTCCATGAACCTCCTCTCCCAGCCAACAGCCATGGGCTTTTAACCACCCCAGTCGGCGGGCTTGGGCAGGTGACGGGGGGTTAAAGATGGAGCCCTCCTGGAACTTTCCCGCAGGCGGCTGGGTGTCTTTCTGCCTGAGATTTGCATAGCTCTAAGCCTGCCCCTCAAAGACGGGGACAAGTGTCCTCAGGAAATGCTGGAGTGAAGATGCTCTTATTTGCTGATTTTCTCCTGCCTCTCACCCTCCCCACCCCACCGTCAGGGACCCTGGAGGAGGCCGGCTGGAGTGGGGCTGGCAGAACTAGGGAGGGGTTCTCCGTGCTCCTCCCTGCATTCCCCCCTGGGTCCCCAGGGGCCACCTGGGATCAGGGGACAGAGCGAATGTCCGCAGAGGGACGTCCCCCTCCCCAAGCCGGCCCCACACCAGGGGCAGAGGCAGAGAGAAGGCTTCCCGCCTCCCTCCCTCCCTCCCTCTCAGGCAATGTGGAGAAAACTGGGTCAGGCAAGCTCTCTCCTCCTGCTGGCTGGTGGGAGGGGGAGGGGGCCGCACTGCAGCTTCCCCCAGACCAGCAAAGCCGAGTTTGGGGACACGGTGAGGGAAGGACACATATGGGCCCCCCTCGCCCCACCCCGCATCCCGGACACAGGTCTCAGGGTGACTGGGCCCCTTCCGTGACCTGGCCTGGATGCGGCCCAGACTTGCCCCTACCCTGGAGCCACCCGAGTGGATATCCACCTCGTAGGATTCTCCCCCTGGAGCGTGCGGACTTCAGGGCCTGCAGACACCGCTCTCCAGGCCCTGCCCTCCCCGGGGAAGCCCCACCTTATCTGCAGCTGATTCTTGATCAACCAGCCAGGGGGCTCAGATAATCCAAAGATAAGTCAAAAGTCGATTCTATCGAACTCAGGAAGGGCTATAGGATTCCAGGGCTGTTTGTTCCAATTCATTCCAGACCCTTCTCTGTCCCTCCCCTCCCTCCTCTTCCTCTGTCTCCATCTCCACCTTCCCCATCCATGTCCCCTTGAATGGATGAAAACGCAGAGTGTCCCTCGAAGGAAGCCCCAAGTCCATAGGAGGTTTGATCAGGGCTGAAGAGAACGCCAGCATTAGGCCCACCCAGCCTGGGTCTGGGTCCCCTTGGGAATTCAGACCCTCTGGTCACCGCAGGGGGCCTCTCTCCTGCCTCTTGCGCTGCCGGACTGTGAAGCCACCTCTCCCCTGTGGGCCCATCTCCCCGCTTACAAACCGGGGGATTGGACTCCATGGTCTCCCAGGGCCCTTCAGTGAAGCGAAGCGCTTAACCCCTCTGCCTCAGTTTCCTTATCTGAAAGATGTCCATAGGCATCCCTCCTAGGCCTATCTGCCCGGGCTGTTCTGGGGAGATCAAACGGGTCCCTCTCCTGCTCTGGGAAACACAGATAACTCCTAAGCCGCTCCTGTTGGACTGTAGAAGGCATTATGCGATTTCTTTTTTTCTCCAGCACCGTCGCCTTCCCCCATTCCATTTCGCTGAGACTAATACTTAAATTGATTTACATTCCCTGAGGACACAGCGCATGATGGTGAGGCTGGAGAATTCGGGGTGGCCAGGGGATGTCAGCCAGGATTCTGAATGCCTTGGAGATCACCTCGAAGTGGAGGATAAACCGCACCAGAGAGCAATAAGCGGCCTTGGGCCTGGCAGGGGTCGGGGGGCATCTCTGCAGGTGCGGGGCCCTTCCCAGGCCCACGGTGCCCCAGCAAAGGCTCTGAGAGTGGCCTGGTATAGGGGTATTTGGCCAGGCTAAGGTCCTGTCACCTTTGCTAGACCCAGTTGGGAGCAGAGCCCCCGTTCCCGAGTTCCAACAGTCTCCTCGGCTGGCACTGGTTGTTCTAGACCAGCCCACGGACAGTGCTGGAGAGGACTCCCAGATGCACCACATGGAACTCAGGTCCTAGGTCTCCACCCCATGGCTGTCTGACTCTCGTGGGTAACCTGTGCCTGGCTGTGGGTACCTGGCTGCACTGATCGGAGAGGGCGTGGACTCTCGCCCTTGGGCTATGCCTCCCTTCACCCGGGACACAGACTTCCCCACCTGCCTCTCTCTCTAGACCCTGCCTCTTCCTCAGCTGCTGGCCCCCACCCGCTGCACAGGTCCCCACCCCAGACCCATGGTTTGTCCTTGGCACATGAGCCTGGTCCAAGCCCCCTCTTCGAGGGGCTCTGGGGCTACCAGCCTGTGATTCCAGAGGGTGATGGCTCCTCCCCAGAGAAGAGAGTTGAGGCAGGGGGTTGGGGGTGCACCACCCGACTCCCAGTGCCTCGATGGAGGGCTCCTCAGACCCTGCTGGGCAAACAAACTGCCCACTTCCCTCCACCCACCCTCGGAAAGCTGTCTTCTCAGGCGCAGCTCCCAGGGCCCCAAGGCCTCTTAGATTCCAACCCTGCCCCCTTTCCTACTCCCCAGCACCCCCCAACCCCAGACCTCTCCCAGTGCCTGGGAACCTGCGTGTTGTTACATCCACCTGGCCCTGCTCTGCCAGCATCTCACCTCTCGCCACCCTGCCATGCCCCTCCTCCATGCTGGGTCCTGGGCTCACGGGAGACTATGATTTTATCTGTGTCTGTGTGTGTTTGTTGGTGCACATGCATTTCCATGGGCATGAGTGCAAGCAACGGGCTCCTTACATATGTGGTGTGATGTATATATGTAGACACAGAGTTGCATATTTGCATGTGCATGCATCTGTACGTGCATGTACATGTGTGTTTGTGCTCATGTGTACTGGCTTCATTTCTGTGTGTGTGGCTGTGGATGTTATGTGGGGTGGGGAGACTGACCACACACGTGAGTCTCTACAGGCGTGAGTCACAAGTGTGAATCCCAAGTAGCCTGTGTGTGTGCTTGTGCGTAGGGTGGGACCTCGGTGAGCTGTGCGTGAAGGGCAGATCTGTGGTCTGTCTGGGCGTGGAAGAGCAGCACGGGCTCTGGAGTTTGCTCACACCTGGAAGTTCATCCTGGCAGGGTGAGGACCCAGCTCTGGTCCCTGGACATCATCAGCCCAGGAGCCTGCACAGAGACGCTCTGGCTTCCTTGGGGCAGAGCTGTGGGAACAGAGGAGGGCCAGGGCAGGGATTGGGGTGTGGGGAGTGGGACCCAGGGAAACCTCCTGAGCTGGATGGAGCTGGGGTCTCCAGGGAGCTAAGGGGTGTGTGGATGGGAGGCTTGGGTGCTCCCTCTCAGCTTTTCTTGTGCCCCTACCACCAGAAGTCATTTCCCAGACCTTTTTGGTCCCAACGACTCAGTGCACCTTCCCACCCCAATCCTTCCTCCCACACGGGGCTCCAGAGTGACCCTGCCATCCCAGCCTTCTCTGACAAGACTTTGCTCTCTGGGGCCTGCCTACCTCCGTCTCTCTGTGGCCTCCCCATCCCCCAGCCTTCTCCTCCCCAAGCCGCTCCCGCTGCCCACGAAGCTGCCTCTCCTCCAGTTGGAACTTCCCTGCCCTCGCTTCTTCTCCCCAGCCCATCGCCAGACTGTGGCCCTCGGGTCCTGACCCCTCTCCCAGACTCTCATTCCCCGCCCCTCCTTCCTGCCGCCCCTCAAAGCCCGTCCTGCTCTCCGGGGTCCCGTTTCTCAGCGCCTGGCTCCTGTCTCTCAATGCCGTCCCCACCCCCTTTTCCTTCCGACCTCTGAACCTCCTCTCCCATTCTCCTGTCTCTCCATCCCTGGTGCCTACCCCCACGTCCTCTGTCCCCAACCCTCTTCCTTGCCCTATCTCACTGTACTCTTTCCTCCTTACCTCTTCTCTTGTCTTCTGTCCAGCCCTGTCCCCTTGTCCCCGGCCCTCAGTTTTCTGTCCCCAGCTGCACATCCCTCAGTCCTGTCTCCCGTCCTTTCCCACTGTCCCCCAGTCCCCGGTACCTGTCCCTCTTCCTCAAGCTGGCGAGTTCCCATCTCCACCGCTCTGTCCCTTAATCCCGGGTCTCTTCCGCGGTGCCACCCCTGCCCCCCGGGCCGAGGGATCCCAGCCGCCTTGGAGCTCAGGGTCGATGCAAAGGAAGTTGAGCCGCAGGCAGCGCGCGCCGCGCCCCGCGCCCCTCGGCCGCCCCCGCCCCGCCGCCGCTGCCGCTCCACTTCGTCCCGCGCGCGCGGACACGCAGGTGCCCGCCGCGGCCGCGGCGCGTGACGACCCAGAGCGCGGGGGCAGGCGGCCCCGGGGCGGCATGGCCCGGCGGGCGGGCGGGGCCGCCGGCGCACCCTCGGGGCTCGGCCGCGGCGGGCCCGCGCGTCGGGAGGGAGCGCGCTCCCTCGCTCTCGCGACACCCGGGCGGGCGCACACCCCGCGCACACGCGGCTCCCAGCGCACACGCGGGCACCCGCGCCGCCGCGCCGCCGCCGCCCGGGCGGGGCCGGCCGCTTCCACGGCGCCGAGCCAATCAGCACCGAGGCGGGGGGGTGGGGGACACGGAGCCCGCACCACGGCCACCCGGCCCGCGGCCACCGCCGCCGCACGTGTGCACGCCCACCCTCCCCCGGCGGCGGGCACCTTCGGGGGCGCGCCCCGCGCTGCGCACGTGGACTCAGGGCCCCAGTGCGCGAAGACACCATTGGGACGTCCCGGCGACACCAGGACCAGACCCACCCACGGATTCCCTCTGTGGACACAGGCGCGGGCCGCACATCCACCCCACGCTCGCTCCTGCACGCATGACCCCAAACACCGAGTACCTCGTGTGGTGACACACTCCGATGGATGCACCCTAGTTCATGGGCAGAGGCTCAGAGACGGGCTCAGAGGCACTTTGAGGTGAAAAACCAAAAAAACCACCAAAACCAAGCCTTTCCCTTTCCCCACCCCAACGACTTGGCATTTAGGGACCATGGGGTTTTAGGGAGGTCTTAGATTGCAGTGGTCAGGAGGGCAGGCTCAGGGACCAGGAAGACAAGTGTCCTGCTGTGTGGCCTTAGGCAGGTTTCTTAACCTCTCTGAGTCTAAACTTTCATGTCTGTAAAACAAGAATACCAGTATCGATATCCTAGGGTGGTTGTAAGAAGTGAAAGGACCCAGGTGGAACTTCTGGCAGACAGCTGGGCGCACAGCCAGGTGGCCAGTCATTACAGCTGTTCTCCAGTGAGGTGGACTATCATTCCCTGCTTTTCCCTCCCCTGATCTTCCCTGTCTCCAGTTCCATCCCCCAGGACTAGGGGTCTAATCCAGGGATGGTTTGGGGCTGTGACGGGAGGACAGGGATTTAGGGCTGCATCCTGGGGCCTGCTCTGCCACCCTCAAGTCCCTCACACACCTGGTGGGCCAAGCAGTCCGGGAAGCATGCAAGGTACCTGCAGCCTGCTGAGAGGGTGGATGCCCACGGGAGCAAGTGCCTGATCTCTTCCCACTGCCGTCTGGCACAGACCATCGTCCAGCCCCCTCTTCCTTCGCTCCCAGCTCCCGTGGTCACCGTGGGAAGTTGGAGCCATGGCTGGAAGTTACCTAGGATGAGAAAGGCCATTTGGGGAACATGTACCCTGAGTCAGACCCTGCTCTAGGGGCTTTATAAACTCGCTCCAGTTTAAGCCTCACACAGCCCTGCAGGGGTGGCACACCTAAGGAAACAAAAGCTCAGAAAGGCCATCATTTGCCTTACATCACACAGCTGGTTGAATGCCAGAGAGGTACTCAGATCCACAGCTGCTTGGCTCCAACACCCATTTCTTTCCTCTGTGTCTTTTTTTTCCTTACAGAAAGGGGGAAGACAGTTCCATAGAAGCCCCTTCCTCGCAGCTCAGGTGGACTGCCTCGCTAATGTAGTGAGCCTCCTGTGACCAGAGGCATTTAAGCAGATACTAGCTGAAATTGTTCAGATATGCTGTAAGAGGGCAGGTGAGTACAAAGCAGATTGGACTAGACCCAGAGTGGCAAACTCAAACGCCTACGTGAGAAAGGCAGGCACCCTCACGGAGCCTGCTAGGAGAGTGTATCCAGATCCAGCCAACACTGCTGGTGGCAACGTGTGCCGTTTTCTGCATTTTCAAGAACAAGTTGTCTATCTGGAACTTTTATGTGATACCTCTTGATTTTTAAGTTTGGCAGCTAATGTAAACATTGTAATAACACCACAGTGTGGGCAGACCTGTGAGTGGAGTGGCTATAGCCCACAGACCTCTGGGCTGTGATTCAAGGCTCATCAGATAGAAGAATCCGTGGCTGGGAATTCACTCCTGGAGTGTCAGAGAAGTGGGCAGAGGAGACCAGAAAAATGCAGACAAGGCAAAGCATGGTGGCTCACGCCTGTAATCCCAGCACTTTGGGAGGTAGAAGGAACACTTGAGCCTAGGAATTTGAGACCAATCTGAGCAACGTGGCAAGACCTCATCTCAACAAAAAATTTTTAAAAATTAGCTGGGTGTGGTGGTGCACACCTGTGGCCCCAGCTACTCAGGAGGCTAAAGCAGGAGAATTGCTTGGGAGGCTGAGGCTGCAGCGAGCCATTAGTGAGCTGTGATTGTGCCATTGTATTCCCGCCGGGGAGACACAGCAAGACCCCATCTTGAAAAAGAAAAGAAAAAGAAAAAAGAAACGCAGACAGTATGCAGAACAGTCACAAGCAGTCCTGGGCATTCCCTACTCCATCCCAGGCTCGCAGAAAGATCTGTTGGTGGAGACAGGCTTTGCTGGGGGTTGGGGTTCTGCATCCCCAAGTGTACGTGGAGCCAACCAAATCTGGGTTTTGCCCATTTTGTAGGTGAGGAAATGGAAGAAAGCCAGGTTTTCTGGACCTGGAGAGTCCTTGAAGGACTTGGTGGGCATGAGGGATGGTTCTGAGTCAGGAGTCTGCTCTACATTCCAAAGCTCTTTAGCAAAATAAGGAATTCATTTTGCCAATGTTCCGTGGAATGCTAAGAGCAACATGCTTTCAGCTGTCTCCCTGCCCCCTGTGAAACTCCCAGGATGCCCCAGCCCAGGTGTGCCCTTTCCCCCGGGTCTCTCCCTCCCACCCCTCCCCTTTGCTGTTCTGGGTTTCAAAGGGGCAACTTGCCCATCTGCCAATGGGAAGGAAGAAACTCCTAGAGGGGCAGGTGGTCTCACCGGGCTTTTGGGGACATGACAGTTCCATAGGAACACAGTTCCATAGGAAGACAGTTGACCTTGCATCTGTTGACTTAACCTTCCATCCTCCCTGAAGGGTCAAGCAGTACAGGGCTGTGAGGAGAGCCTCAGAGGGGGACTGGGACAGGTTCCCTGCTGGGGCAAATCTTCCCCAGCTCCACCACAGCACTGCGAACACCATCCAGGCTGGACTTGGCACGTCTTTTCTCATTGAATCCCCGCAATGCAGAGATTTCACCCATTTTAAAGAGAAGCGCAATGAGATTTGAGAGGACTGACGGACAGGGAGCCCTGTGAGGTGCGTGGGCAGAATCCCTGATGCTTGTGGCTTCTTTTGTCTCTTCTTGCCAACTGGATTCTGAACTGCTTGAGGGCAGAGTCCATGGCAGGGTCCTGGCTGGGTCCCGCTGGGTCCTCCTGGTGCACTGTAGATGCTCCAGGAACGTTTGCCGAATGACTGAATGAGCAGCCATCCAAGAGGGCCACACTCCGCAGGCCAAGTATGCCAGGTGAGCATGGCTAGAGTTACAGGACAGGTGGATAGCTGGTCAGGTGTGCTAGCTGTACCTGCCAAGTGGGCTTGGCCTGAACCCTACAGGTGAATCTGAACAGTGCTCTCCCTCTCCCATCAGCGCATCGGGACCTTGTTCTACAAAACAGGTAAGCTAGGGGCAGCAGCGGGCAGAGCTGGGCTTGGCAGAGCAGGGCAGCCTCTGAGTCAGTCCTTCCCCACTTTCAGACTCCTCCCTGACCCATGTCTTCTCCTGGGAGGGGGAAGAGTAATCAAGGAACATCAGACAAGACATCGCCTATGCGTGGACCCTCCCAGATGTATCTCTCCTCGCTTCACCTTTCTGAGCCTCAGTTTCTCCAGTTACAAAATGAGGATAATGCCAACAACTCACAGGGTTGCTGTGAAGCGTAAGTGAGTTCACAGATGCAAACGTGCTTGGAAACCTATAACGAGATCTAAGATTGGAAGGCACGCTTACGTGCTAGAGGAGGAGACTGAAGCCCAGCGGCTCTGCGCTCTGCGGTCCAACTAGGCCGGGTACCATTTTAGGCCCAGGTAGAAAAGATGTTCTGGCAGAAGACAGATGTGTAGGAGTGGGAGGGGTCAGGACGGGGCAGGGGTGAGTGGTTAAATCTTCGCCCATCCTTGAGCCACCCTGTCCCTGGCCTGGATCTCTTGTTGCCCACCCAAGCTGTCTCAGAACCCCCACCCCACACCCCAGAGCAGGCTTGGTTCACTCTGTGAGGGGTGTCAAAGGGGACAGGGCATTCCGGACACTTGCGTCTAAATCTCTTCCTCTCCTCTGGCTGGAAG